AGTCTTGTTGCGCCTATCTATTGGTCTCGTGCCAGCCGCTGAAAACCCTCAAGGTTTCGCGTTTAGGCTTTCGTGCTTTCTCCGCCACTGGGTCGGCGGACTGAGCCGGAGGCTCTTAAGTAGGGATACTGGAAAAGAAGATGGACACTACTATAATATAATAGGGGGTTACATAGGGATACTGGAAAAGAAAATGGAAACTACTATTTAGGGTTTAGGGTTTAGGGTCAGCATCTTGGTGGCAAGAAGAATTACAAACGGCGGATGGAGGAGATCCTACGCCACTTAAGATACCCAAGACATTGTAGTTATTGAGGTATAGTATAGTATAATGTAATAGCATATAGTACAGTATAGGGTAACAAATGTCGTGCGAGATTTCCAATAATACCTAGAGACCCAGAGTGGCTCATGTCAGCAATCAGAACAGTTCCGGAATCAGGGCAATAGTGGCAGTACAAATGTTGATAGCAGCACGTGACAAGAACCACAACAGTGCTGTTCAAGTCATGAAACAAGGGAGTGGCATACGGCTGCAGTGCGCCCCGCCACCCCCCCAAAGAAAACTTGGCTATTCAAGCTTCCACGTGGCACGCTCCTTTGCAGGAAAACTATCCCTTGTACCAATGCTACACCGCTCACGCTCCATCCTCTTGGACCCTCTAGGACCCCTCCATGTTTTGCGTTCTTATGCAATCTAGGTAGGAGGCATGACTGAGGTCGTGCTCTTAGAATCCTCTTTTCAACCCTATCCTCAAGCCTGGGAGAGATCGTAAGCAGATAGGAGGCCACCCAACCTCGAGCTCTTCGAGGGAAAGCCATGTTGCTTTGGATGCGAAGGTTGAAGGGGTTTCAGTGCGCGTTTCGGGTTGTGGTTTTGGAGGGAATGCTGAGCTTGCAGAGAAGCACCTCAAAGAGCCTTCAAGAGCTCATTTGGGAAGGTGAGGCGAAGTGAGGATCCCATAGCACTAGTTCTCTTACACACAAAGATGAAAAACTGTGAGAAACCACCGTGATATGCTAATGTTATATGCATAGCAGCCCCTGCGCAGTTGAGGCCCACGCACTCGAATGGTTGTCTCGAAAACAGAGACCGTCTTGCCTTCGTGGGAAAGGGTTGGCTTACCTCTCACAATTTCGGTGGGAGGCCTCCTCTCCGGGATCCTGTAAGAAGGCCCCTGAAAATGGCTGTCTACAAGAGAACCCCTGCTTGAGGCGCAGGTGATTGCAGAGATCCCTTCAACGAATTCTAGCTCAAGTAATTTGCTTGGGTCTTGGTCAGTCTTGCGAGACATCGCTTCGCTTCCCTCGGGCTTATATAGGGAATCGGGAATGGGAGAATCGCCCATCCAAAAGTCCACTTTCACTCCCTTCTTGCTGTTCTGTGTCATGCTGGGGAAAGATGAACTCCAAGATTCCTTTTCCAATCCTCCTTACTCAGCATCATGGAGGCGTGGCAGGGGTTGCTTCGGCCCTGGCCTATGGCGTTGATCTTGTTGTGGAAGTGGGCCGCCTCTCACTGGGCCAAGTGCTGAGGATGACACGTATTTGCCCGCAGAATTGCCTCTTGCTGTTTTTGCCTGCCTCCGCTCCCCCAAAACGAGCACGAATTAAAATAAAACAACGAAAGAGACTTCTGCCCTTCTGAAAGCGCTCTGCATGGGATTTGCGTATACGCAGAGTACGCGCTACACACTAAACCCTCCCATCCTAAAACCTTTACCCTTATTCATCCAAAGATATTCCTTCTTACATCCTAAGCGCTTAAACATCCTAAACCCTACTCCCTAAACCCCGTAGATTCATATAAAGGTAGAATTTAGGGGGGGTGGCATTTCTGTTTATGACGGGATCTTCTCAGCACCGTGGATTTTGTGGGAACTGAGCTTCAGGCCAGCCAGTCCCGAGCATCGATGAACTCGTCCTTTAAACCAGCCAGCCAGAGCCTGCGCAGACAGTTTTGGGCTTTCTGCTTAAGATCCCTGACCACCTTTGCTGTGCAAGCCTGAGGCTAGGGAAGGCTTTCAGGGCTCACCCAACCAGGACTCCGAAGCTTTTGTTATTCTCCGAAACTTTTTCCCCAGGCACATCCTGAGCCGCTCTAGGTCTGGCACTCAGCCGCACAGAGCAGCTCGTCCTTCACCGGTGCTTGGGACACTTGTTTGTCTCGCGCTCTGGCTTCTCAGGCACGAAGTTGCGCTTGTGACTTTCGCCAGCTGCCCATTCCTCACGCTGTCGTTTGGCCTCGCCCTGCAGGTGCCGCGCGAGCAACTCCTCCACCGTGCCCATGCGCAGTGGACATCGGACTACAATGGGCGGTTGGGGCTTCTTCAGGTCCAGAGCCAGTCTGGAAACTCGACCCCCCAGTTGCAGCAGCTGCGCGTAGGATGCAGGAAGCTGTTGCAGAACGACGCTGTCGGTGCAGCGGTGCAGGGACTCGATGCCGACATCAATGGAGCCATCTGCCAGCAGTACGTGATGGCGGGTGACGAAGTGGGACACGAGTGCCAGGATATGCGGCCTTCCCAGCGGGTTCCCTTGAGCATAGAGCTGATCTCGACCACGGCGTAGCACACACATGGCCGCACGGTCGCCCCCGAAGCTCATGTAGCCTTGGATCACCTTTGTTCGCTGCTTGGAGCCCAGGCTGGTAGAGAGCTTGTGGAACTGAAACGGTGAAGAAACACCAAGCTCTTGGATCAACTTCTTCTCCATTTTCTCCGGGCACGAGCATCGCACAATGGTTGCACCGAACCTGCCAGGTTCCACGTCACTTTCCCTTGGCACAAGTACCTCGCGAAGCAGTCCCGCAATGAGCTCCGGATTCTGAGAAACGAGGCGGTTCTTCTTGGCTAGCCTGCTCAGCAGTGTCTCCGTTAGCGCGCAACACGCGCAAACATCTTGGCCCCGTCGCGCCGCACAGATCTCTGCCACTGAGAACAGGAAGTTTTTTAGTCTTCCAGGAAAAGCGGCCATAGCTTTAAGGCTTTGCATCAGGCCCTGCATGTTGTGCTCAGGCCTGTCACAGTCGAGGATATCGCCTGCAGGCTCACCAAAAAACGCTACCAGATTTTGTCGATCCTCCTGCGCGAGAGACTTCACCACAACATAACACCATGTGACAAGGACAACGCGGGCTCGCGGATCTCCCTCCAGGAAAGGTATGATATGCTCATCATCCAGCACATGCATGGCCTTGCAGGGCAAAATCATGCCATGGCCGAGATTCCCAGTCGCGAACATACTGGCCGCGTCGGCATCCAGCTTCATTAACTCCAACCGTGGAGCAGACATTCCCAGGCTGCAGAGTAATCGTGGGGTCTTCTTCACCAGGAAGGATGCCAAGACGTTGTGCTCCTTTGCACCCTCCTCCTCTTGCTTTAACAGACGCTCCGGCGTGGCTGTGACGAAGAGGATCCTGGAATCTGCCGATGCTGCGCGATGCGGACATTTGCTGTTATGGCCCGGGCTGTAGGCTTCTTCCACCACTATCAGGCCTCGGTCAGAGAGCAGCGCGCTGAACGAGTTCGACAAAGGCTGCTTGCAGGCAGCATTGAACACCACTAGCCGCGCCCGGGAATCAGGTGGAGCGGCCAGAAATGCCCTGAAATCCTGCTGCCCACGAATCACAAGCAGGCCCTTGTCTTCCAGAAACTTTCTCTTTGACTTGCACTCTTGACCTTCCAAGATCTGCGGCGGCTTCTCCCACGGCCAGAATATCAAGGTCTTCACCGTTTGGTCCACAAGGGTGGACGGAACGATGACGATGCAGCGGAGGCCCATTTGCTTCCAGTGTTGATCTACAACAGCCTTAACCACAGCCGACTTGCCCAGACCCGTGTCAAGCGCCAGCAGCGCACATCCCCCAGGATTCGCCAGATTTCGGGAGAGGAATTTCACAGCCGAGTCCTGGTAGTCCAAGAGCCCACTGGCCATCCGCTGGCCAGTGAATTCTCCACTCCTATCTTCGAGGGCGGCCTTCTTGACTTCGACCATCGCTTTGGGAATCCTACCAGACTCTTGCTCAGCCTTGAGCCAAAGCCTGCGCGTTTTGGGTTTATGGCTTTGGGTTTGGGGGTTGGTGGTTTAGGGTGTTCGGTTGAGAGGCTTACGGCTGCGGACTTTGGAGCTTTGGGCTTTGGGGCTTCTGGCTTAGGCCTTTTGAGGCTGAAATACTCTGATAGTGACTTGTACCTCTGCGGACCACACGTGATTTCTAGTTTGCTTGTTCAGACAAAGTCATTATGATGCCTCGGGATACTTTGACGCCAGATCAATTTGGCATGAGGGTACCATTGCCATTAAGATCACTATTACTCTTACTCTTACTCTTACTCTTGCTCTTACTCTTACTCTTACCCTTACTCTTACTCCTACTACTGTAGCTCTTACTCTTCCTCTAACTCTTACTTTTACTGCTATTAGCCTCCTTCTCCCTCAACCCCTTGGTCTTCTGTTAATCCGCCCTAGTATGGCCATCGTCCTCTCCCATGCCACTACAAGAACCACACTCCAAATCCTGAAGCCCAACTCTGAATCACGCGGGCGCACGTATCCAAAGAGTCCACCATCGTCACCGCCATGTTGAAGCCACGGTTCCGACCCCTGTCGGCAGTGCGCCACAAGCATCTAGCCTCACCCCGCACTTTAGACAAACCCTCATATCCGCTTAGAGGAGGCATCTGTGGCCAGCATGAAAATTGATCTAGGTCCTTCTTGGACCTGTGTTCTACATGAAGGGAAACGTGTTCGTTCCTGAGTGCTGTGTGGGGTCGAAGACCGGGGGACCCAAATGACAAACAACTTTTCTGTGGAACGAGCACGACACAAGTGCCCACTTCTGAAACCCCAGCATGTGACCTCGTTGATGCCCTGAATCCTGACTCCCTGAAATCCCTAAACCCAGTACACAAAGACATTCATCCCCCAAAGCTTCAGACTTCAGGCAGGCCTGAGGCCTGAGATAACCCTATCGTAAAATAGTTTCCATGTCCCTCTCCAGTATCCCTATCTACCCCCTGAACCCCAAACCTTTGAGGCTCTGGCTTGCCAGCGATGGGTAGCAGCTCATCGTTGCCCCAGGCATGGGTCTTGTAGGAGGACCAGGCGTGGCGAATCCTGAGCATCCAGTTCCAGGATCCCTAACGCTGATTGAGTTATAGGTTGCATGGTGTTTATTAGAATCTAGATTTGCCGCGGTTACTGTATTATCTTCCTGGCATAGTGAACGCACCTGTGCAATAGCTGCTTCTGGTACTGCTTCTGCTTCTTCAGCTCTTCTCACTACTGCTTACACTCTGCTGAGGCGGCTAAAGTATAGCTGCAAAGTCGAGATGATCATGACGGTGAGGGCATTCGAAACTGACAATCACGATGATGGCTAGCGTCATCGTCATCATCTAATGAGGATCGAGACGACAACAACAACAACAACAAAAACACTAAAACACTGATGCACGTGTTCATGCAGGGCTCAGACGCATCTCGGATGGCGTTGGCGCGCAGTTCCTGCGTGTTCGCCTGCCAGCACGGTGGGGAATGCAAGCAGGCTTGCATCTGATAACCATCACAAACCTCTCACCCAAAAACAACGACTTCCCAGCTGGCTGTGCGAAAGCGTCAAAGCTAAGGCCACGGCTGAAGTTACCAACAAAGCCAGACCTCATCAGCGAAGGGGTGCGGCAACCTAACAAAACCCATCCTGCGGTGGCCCGCGGCTCTTGTCGTGGTCTGACACTGCAGAATTGTCCTTAGTTCTAGCAATCAAGACAACACTCGTTCAATGGTAGCAATAGTCGTAGCACCTCTAATCCCCTGTTTGAGCCAGTTTCTATTGTATTTTCCATTCTCTCTTTCAATTGGTTCTCCATTATTGCGGGAGACCCCTTAGTTTTCCAAGCTCTGGGCCACAGGTGGCGTTGTTGGCACCTTCGGTATCTCCCCATGCCCGGGTGGAAAGCAGGATGTGACCTTGGAAAACGACTTGATCTAAACAGAACAAACCCCTCAAGTCCCTGAAGTCTGAGGGACCTACACCAGCTTTTGCGTAGGCCTTGAGGGCCGAAAGCTGCAGGGAGCCGGCGGCCTGGCGATAATCATTATGTGCAGGGCAGCTGACTTGGGACTTTACGGATTGGATTGTGGGATTGGAGCTAAGACAAGAGGGATTCACGTTTAGGGTGGGTAGGGTTTTGGGTTTGGGCTTGGGGTTGAAGGTGATTCAGGTTTGGCGATTCGGTTGTTAAGGGAGTCTAGGGCAGTCTTGAATCATTCGTGGCTGCAATGCTGCGACTTAAGCCGCAGAAGCAGGAAACTCGACAAAGAAACTAAACCGGCGCAGAAGCTTGGGCGTAAGGAGGGAAACCTTGTGCCTGAGAAAGTTTATAGGGTGGCCCAACTCAACACCTGTGGTATGGAGAGCTCCAAATCTGCAAACGACAAAGAAACTGCTTGCACTCCAACCCTGCTGGACTTGTCAAATCTCCATAAAAACCCGGCGCCTTGCAAAGCCCCTACCAACACCCTACCATGCTTCCTCAAGGACACCTCTAGGAGCCTAAACTCCCTACTATCTCCCTTCATATGCCCTATGGTACTTCCCTATAAAATCCCCGATAGCAGACATCTGCCCAAGCCCTGCCTTGATCCAGCACCCCGAAGCTGGAGAGTCTGAGGCAGAGCTCAGGACCGCAACGGTGCAGCCACCCTGGCTCCATGACTAGGAGCTTCTTCGAGTGGGATATTATGAGCATTACTGTTCCTATTAGTATTCTTACTATTAGTATTAGCTATAAGTACTATACACATACATATATATCTAGACGTATATAGAAAGGGCTGCTGTGAGGAACTGCTTTTGTTGCGATTTTTGAGAACAGTGATAAATGTATCTCACAAGACCTATACTTATCATACGAATATATCGTACTGATACCTATATGCAGGCAAAGCTTCATACCCATGAAGACTTGGTAGCGGGCAGAAGGAGTGCAATTAGGCTTTGCATGCAGTTTCTTCAGAAAACCCACCATTCTACATGACATCTCCACTAGTGATTGAACATGTTGGATTGTAATTGCACTCTAAGCCCTGCTTTTTTCAGTTCGAGGAAGCCTCTTCCGTCACATCATGCGGATGGAAGTTCACCGATAAATCCCTAACCCCTAAACCCTAAATAGTAGTTCCATGTTCTTTTCCATGATCCCTATAACCCCAATATAATACCTCTATATGACCCTATATAATCATCCCTATAATAACCCCATTCAAAGTGAGGTTTACATGGAGGTCCCCAATAAGTCCTCTCAGGCTCCAAAGCTCTCAGTGAGTCCCAAAAGAGATGATGGAAAAGAAAATGGAAACTACTATAGTATAATCGGGTATATATTGGGATAATGGAAAAGACCATGGAAACTACCATAGTGTAATTGGGCTTTGTAGAGGTAATGGAAAATGAAAACTGCTATAGTATATTGGGGCTATAGAGGGATAGTGGTAAAGAACATGTAAACTAGTACATTATAGTAGGGTATATATTGGGGTATATAGGGTTTATATGGGCTGTTCTCAAAAGTGTGGGCCCCTTTTCGTTTAGGATATATTCCAACACCTACTATTTTGGGGGACCAAAGTGGGACCCTAATTTTGGGAACTACCCATATCATGTTGCGCCACCCGTAAGCCTAAACCCCTGTGACCTTCTTATGCCTATGAGGTTGTTCCTCTGAAAATCCTCACCTTTTCCTGAGACATCCTCTAGGGATCATGTTAACTAAACATGATGGATGTATCCCCCAACAACTTGTGCTATTCTAGTTGAAGTATTCCAAGTATTCCTTGCGTTGAAGGACTCTAGTGCTCATTGGGATGCCAGGTCAAAGTTCAAGTATTCTGTCCAATCTACATGGTTCAGCGAAGTCCGCATAGATTTACGGGGAAATCCCATGTAAAACGGTAGGAACTTAGCTGGTACAGTGTATACTGCTGCAGATGATAAACCTTATTGTGCGGATATCGTAGAACATGTCAGGAATTCTGAGGGAATCAATAGGCACAACCTGCAGGCCAACAGTTTGGAACTACGGGGCACTGACTGCACAATAGTAGATTGCTGTTGAGGAACTCAGACTAAATTACTAGAATGGGTATACATAATGATTAATAATTTGGTCTCCCCAACGTAGTAACTTCGAATAAGTTCCTTAACAGAACCCAGAATATCAGAATCCATGCGAATTCCCCATGTCAGAACGAGTTTCGCACTGAGATCAACAGTATGTCGGATAGGGGACATCCATATAAATGCAGTTCCTCTAACTTGACTGGTGCAGTTTGCAGAAGTGATGTCAGATTACATGTGATGTGCAAACAGAGACTTTTAACAGACACAGGCATGTGAATTACTGAGATGTTTGAGTCACATCCTACAGAATAGTCGAATTCACAATCAGTTTACTATATCACGCTGGAACCTAGGTGAGAGTTGATCATATAACAGGATTCCGCTAGCGGCTTCAGCAAGATCTGCAGAAAGAACTTGAGACGTTGAGAATGCGTGTGTTTTATTGACAAAATAATGAAAAAGCGTGGGCCCTGAGAGCGGCCCACCCAATGAATAAATAAATAAATAAATAAACAAATAAATAGATGTATATATACATATATATATTCGGATTCGGTTATAAGTAGAAGTGTGGTTCCACTTATAATCACCCATGAATTTAGCAGAAGGGCTAGGGGAGAGGGGAAGGGAAGGAGGTCCTCTTAGTGAGACTCCTGCAATTTAGGGATTGTCTTATACTTGGGATGCTCATTTTGATGCTTCCCACAGACGAAAACTGCTGAACGACTCCATTCGAGCAAAAAGCTTCGCCGATGCCACCGGTGCGAGGCGATTCTTCTCCGCACAGAGCTGGCAGCACTCTGCCTGCAAGAGTCTAGATCCTCACTGTTGCAATGCAAGTACTCTGGCTACTACGACTAGTTCCATTCCTTCAATCCCGGCAAACAAGCAGCCAGCGTAGCAGCTTGAGGCAAGTCAAGCCGTTGCGAGCCTTGTTCGAGTTGGCCCGGACCATCTCCTCTTTCCCCTTTCCTCCAAGGCTTAGGCTTCAAGCCTTACAAAACCTCGCTTGGCTTCGCGCCTGCGAGGAGGAAGTAGTCCACGTCTGGCTGGAAGTCGCAGGCGGCAGCTGGGGAGGCTGCAGCAGCGGCTGCAGCGGCAACCGTGGCCGCTCGGTCGGCCGTGGCGACTGGAGTGCCCCGAAGCGCTGGACTCAGCGGAGGCCCGAACCTGGTTTTTGAAGGAGCAAGTTCTGGGACTGAAGGTGTAGAAGGTGTGGACGGGTGCTCAGAATCTCTTAGTGTCGGACGTGCTGATGCCCGAATCGCCTGCTACTTTGGCAAACCTGAGCCATTTATGTTGGCACACGCAGTGCGAGCTGCTAGCTTGCCTGAGGATGTCACTGAGCGGGTGTTATCTGATCCCCGTGTTCTGCACGAACTTTCTGCTGCAAGTCCGCCTGAGCACTTCGCAGACTCTCCACTGCTTGCTTGGCCATATAAGCCCTTAGAAGGAGGTCAGCAAGATACACGCTGAGTCAAAGCATAGTCGATAGATGTATTATGTAACACTTGTTACAAGCAGAACATCTCTGTCCGTAGTGCGAGGACTCTGTTCTTCCTGCTTGAAGCCCTAAACGCCCTAAAGTTGCACCGTTTGGCATCAATAGGGAGCTGGCCAAGAGTCGGTCCCTCTCGGCGATTTCCTGCAAAAGAGAGGCTTAATGTGGGGGGTGTTCTTCTTGCGAGCTGCAACTCTATGAGGGTATGAACCCGTGGGATTCAGGATTTGGGATCTGAGGACTTCTGCAATATTCTGAAGTTATGGATCCCCTGATGTGGAAACCTCACATTTGGGATGTACATGCTCAGTCCTCCGATCTTTCTTTGGAGGGGGGCAATTGGGAATAAGGGAAGGATAACGTACTGGGAGGAGCTCTGAGAGCTGCAGCAGCCGCAGCAGAAGCTGTAGCAATACCAGTAGCAGCTAGCAGGCAAAGGGGGTGGTGCGGTGGCAGCAGGCAATTGGTGGTGCTGGTCCACCATAATAGAAAGGATGGTCAGAAGCATCCTACTTCCTTCCTTCCTTCTGTCGTAAGCAACAGCTAGTAAAGCTGAGCTGCTGCAAGCGACAGCAGGAACTGCAGATACAACAAGGAGTTTGATGATGGGCAACCAACCCTGATAGTAACTAGCCGTCATCATACAGTGTACACAAATGTTGGCATTCGTTGACATGCGAGCCAAGAAAAACGTCATTGTATCTAGGGCAGTTAGAGATCCTGCCTCCTGTGCTCGCGCGAGGTCTCTTTCCAATTTGATGACCCTGCTTTGCAAGGTTCCGACGACCTGGACACCCATGCAGAATAGTCTTGCTTCTACGACTATCACTATTCTAAGGAGCCGTACTATTTGTACATTTATACTGCTGGCTGCTGACTACTGTGACCAAGTGCGGCAGCCCTTACTGTCAGATATGCCTCCCGCTTTCTGCACATTGACCGCAGCTACCAACCCCGTGGCATAAACTCTGCTCTGGGATTCGCATGCCGATGGCGGATGCGTAGGAAGGATCCAGCGCAATGCCCGATGTTGTTTCTTTCAGTTCCTATATTTGGCAGGTGCTGGCAACTTCATTCTTCTTGGCACCTAAACCACAGCCACCCTCCACTTCTTGCACAGCTCGTCTCCTCCGCCTCTTTGCACATTTAGTCTTCTTTCAAGTCTTCAGGTCTGTGCTATACAGGCACTGCCTGTTACGATATAACCGAGCCTCAGGTAGAATCTCATTATGAAGCTGGCTCCAGGTCACGTGTTTGTTCATATAACACAGTTGATATTGTGGTACCTTCGTTTGACCCTCGACAAAGGAGATTTCGTCTGGAAAGCCCGTAATCTTTTCTGCACATCCTCTTCATTCCATTCACTTGATGGGGACAGCGGACGGACTCCCAACTCCGAATTCCTCAACCCAAATCCGCACTGGGTAGTCGGCACCGGGCTGGATATCCGCGGACGTCTTTGGTCCGTCCTCATCATTTTTTAAATGGCAAAGGATGGCCCGGATTGGCGACTTAACAGCGTTACACACTGCTAGCAGCACGGTTTTCATAATCTGCCCTGCCTGCACCAACTCCCGCCATGTCGAAAAGACAAGAACTGACCTCAGCAGCAAAGACCGTTAAGGTTGGAGCGCTTCCGGGTTTTTGGTTTGGGGTTGGGTGTTACTGTCACTATTACTACTGTTATCACCATTGGTACTATTTTTACTATCATATTACTCTTATTACTGCAGTAAGAGCTGCAGCCCTTAAGGCGCCTTGCCGGCGTGCGTTCTTACCCCACCCCGCACTCTGTTTGTGAAGGGGCGGGCAAGGGGTGGGCACAAGTAATAAGGTCGTTCAGCATGACCAAATAATAAGGTCGTTCAGCATCACCAACTAATATGGTCTCTTGCAGGTTATCACGCCCAAGATGACGCGTGCTGCGTTTCTTCGTGGAAGGTTGCCGGGACTCAAGAAGCTTGTGGCTGCAGGGCCTGGTGGCGGACTATTCCTGGGGGCTGCTGCGAACTGGGGGGGCTGCCTGGCGGGTGGCCTGGACTCTGGAGTGGCTTGGCCAAGGGTGGTGTCACAGAGGTTGCTTAGTGGTTGCTGGCCTTGGGCGGCACGGGGCATGCTTGGGCTGGGGGCGGCACAAAAGGTGTGGCAGCTGCAGCAGCATGCAATTGTGAGGGAAGGCTGGGCGCCTAACAGTCGGTTTCGTGGCTCAAGCCCGACGGCCTGGTCATCAAGTTCAGGGGGAGCTGCAGCGAGGAACACTCCATCCCTGGCATGTTGGAGTCGGGGGAGTGCGGTAAGAGCTGCAGCGCTTAAGGCGCCTTGCCGGCGTGCGTTCTTACCCCACCCCGCACTCTGTTCGTGAGCGTAGCGGCGGGTAAGGGGTGGGCACAAGTAATAAGGTCGTTCAGCATGACCAAATAATAAGGTCGTTCAGCATCACCAAGTAATATGGTCTCTTGCAATTACTATTATAACTATATTTACTATTTGGTGTCTAGGGCTGAGGGCTCAGGATGGTTTTCATCTTAGCGACGAAATATGCTTCCGAGCTCTTTGCCACACGATGGCTGCGCTGGTCGTTGCAAGCCAGCACCTGCACTGCACACCGCCAAAACTCTCTTCACGTCTCCAAAAAGAAGACCCAAAAAAAAGACTCAAAGGATACTACCATGTTTGGGGAAAGTACCCCAAGAATGCAGAACCAAATGGAAAATGAAAATGAATCTGGTAGCCCTCCGTTGTCTTGGTCAGATCAATGGGATTTACCTATAAACCCAGAGTTTCAATTTCATGCTCAATTTGATTCTCCATTGTGGAGGGAATAAGAATACCCCTAAACACTTTGTAATCCCTTGTCTTGTGGTAAGGATGACTTAGTTTAAAAGATCCGCTCCAAGATGCTCCAGCCCCCAGGCAGCACACAACAGCTCCTGGCATCAGCTCCAACGAGCCCCCGATGGAAACGGTCGGCGATCTAGAATCTCATAGGAAATTCCTGCATAAGGACATAAGGAACCTCTGAAATGGCTGTGTAGCTTCAAGGCCCTGCTATGATGGGGAGCAACGCCTACAGCATACTCAACGTTCTGATTCTTACGCTCATTGTGGATATAAATGACTGTAGGTCTTACTCTCAACATTCTTTAGCAGTCAGCACAAGCATTTCGATAGCCATTCTTCTTGCCGCCGCTTCTTGCTCTAAAGCCTACACGCCCAAGCCCAACCCTGAACCCTGGCAAAGCGAAAGAGGTGCAGCATGGGGCGCAGCTGCTTTCGGCACGGAATTCGGCTCTCCGGAGCATTGCCTGCATCTGGCATCCACAACTAAAGGTGCCTTGAGTGCTTTCTGTTGACAACCATGGCTGTTCTCCTGAAGACTAAGGCGGGCGCGGGATTCAAGACGTCAGCCATTTTCTTGAGAAGGCTAGCATTTGTGGGTTTCTGCACATTTTGGAACGCGTTCGGGGGTGCCTAAGGAACCCCGGGAAGATCCTGTCTGGGGTCGCCTTCTTCTGCTATTATTCCCCTATAAAGGCTACTAGATTTAGGCCCGGAGAATTTAAGACGTCAACCCATCCTTGCATGGTTTGCCATGTCAACGGCTGGGAAGCTGTGTTACAGAAATTGGTTCCTGTCTTGCCGTTTTCAGACCTGCTGACTACCCCCCTCTATGCCACCACAAAGCACCATCTTGACCTGTGGGCTTGATTGGGCTTGCCCATGACATTACACAGATGGTGGATGGAGCATGTCAGCCCTGCGAAGGAAGCTCCCATGCCCTCTAATTTCCACAAGCCATCGACAACCGCCAAAACCGTAAAAAGACCGCCCTGAACCCACCAAAACCTTCTCTTTGTCTTTTACAAATATGTTGACGTCTTAAATCCCGCGCCCGGCAAGACTAACACCCCCAGGATATCACGGCCCTTCTCTTGACGATACTGCACACATAAAAATACGGACGATACTTTATGCTTTTGTCAGGACTCAGCATTTCCCAGGCAGGCTCCGTTGAGTGCCCAAATGTGCCGAGCGGCCTTGCTCATTTTTCTGTCGAATTCCAACGCAAATGAGGCCCAGCCTGCTTCGGCTTGCCCTCGCTGACGAGGCTTTCGTTGGCTCCGGGTGCCTTCAAATTCAGGGGGCCGGAGGGTGGACGAGACTTAAACTTAGATACTGTAGATTTTCAGGGAGTCCCCGAAGAGGACGACTAGAAAAAATAGAAAATTTAGAGAAGGCTGGCATCATACCAAGACGAAAATGCGGTGTCTCTGCAACTCTGCTGACGTGCCCAGCCTAAGGATGAGGTCTTTACCTCAGTCATGGGCAGAGAAGCTGATCTCGTCTGCGTTGAGCTGAGCAACTTTCTAGCAGCAGGCTGGCTGTAAAAAGGCAACAGAGTCGAGCCGTTATGAGTGTGTTAGTGAGAAAGAAGAGAGTGAGTGCAATGTGTTTTTAGTTGATTCGAAATAGATGTTGATTGATTTGGAAATGATTCTGAGTAGCTTGGAGTTTGTTTGTAGTTGGATTCCGGAGCTCACCTTAAAAGGTTTAAGGTCTCGGGAGACTCCACTTGCTTGAATAGGAAAGCTGATTCTGAAACTTGATTTGCTTACTCAGGAATGGAAGGCTCAAATATTTCTTCCCAAGCACCTACCCCTTACGGAGGTTTCGCGAGAGGGTCTCTCGTCATTCGTAAATATCCCTTGAGAATGACAGAAAAACACTCCCGAACTGTTCTCCGGAAACTATTGTCTTTTATTGTAGCGGGGAACCCTCTTACTATTGACCGAACCTTTAATTCCCAGAGCCAATGGAATGGGCTCCGGGCATTTCCGCAGCAATACTCCCAAAGATAAATCCATAAGCTTGACTCGCCTGACTGCTATGCGAGGGACCATCTGCAGCTTGCAACTGCCATGGCTCGTTTGCAACAAGAACTGCCACAGTTGAATTCGCTTGTCATGCCTAAGCTTTTGCTTGTTGACATTCCAGGGTGAGTCTGGGGAACTGACTGATCAGCTAGTCCATGGTTAGTCAGATACTGAAGCAAATATGTTATCAAATATGAGATATACATATACATATATATATATAGATGTACATCGCCTCAGTCTGCACTGATTCAAGCTGCCTTACAATTCGACGTGCTTCTTGCTCCTTCGCATTGTGCCCAGCTCAAGATTCTGATGGGCGCGCGGAAATGCGGCATACAGCAGTTGAGATCTTCGCCAATCAAGACACGCAATGAAGTACGACACGGCCCTTCTGAAGAAACCCATGCTCATGCTCTGGAAAAGGCACCTGCGGCAACCACACCACTGAGCTAAAACCCGGAACATTTTTGGACTTCCCACGCGCGCTGGCGTCGCGATCATGGCCATAACCCGGTTGTCAGCCTGATGCCACTCAGTTTGGGGCGTAGGATTTCAGTTGTCCCTTGTGGGACGCAAGGACAGGAAGTGGGTGCAGATCCAACGAGCAGGAAACCATTACAAATCTTGCTTCCGCACGCTGGAGCGAGGTCGCAATAACAGCTTCGTGCCAGCAAGTCCCACAAACAGCTCAGTACAGCATTGTGCTTCTGATGTGACATATCCGGTGATATATCATACGCATGTCTGTTTCCATCTGCTGCCTGCGCGCGCAACACAACATGTTAGAATTTGTTTCCTGTTCATGCGTGGGCAATGTATGATACATAATGATATGTGAAAGCCATTGTATGGGCCCATATCCACCCCAATCATCTAGATCTCACTTTAGGCAGCTTTGCTTGCGCAATGGCATTCTCGTTGCGATAGTTGGGGAAAATGAAAAATTCAGGCCCTTTGCAAAAAGCAGGACCTTGGGCAGCGGCTGGCACACGGGGCAATGAAGATTCGATAGGCCCTTTCATGTTGCACAGCCGAGACCTTCCACAAGAAGACGCAGCAGAACATGGACTGCAGAAACCTTCTTTCGAACGAACACAAATGCACCAAAATGAGTATGGAAACTGGCAGTATGACCTCCCTCCGGCCCCAGGCTTGCGACAAGACCAGGAAAACGGCGAATGAAACCTTCAACAATCACAGTCCATCCAACCAACCCGTGACCTTTCAGCTGATCAATGAATCAATCTCCACAATCACACGCACAGCAAGATTGATCAGTCCTTTGGCATTTGCACAATGACAGCAATCAAGTCTTGAGCTATAATTACATTCCAGGTACGCGAGAAAAGCGCTCAAGCTGTATTTGCGGATGCCAACCCTTAAAACTCTTCGTAACAGAGGTCGCCATACAAACACACACCACGAAGTGGACTCAGACAGACATGCCCTGTTGAGGATAGAAGTGCTGATAGCTCGAAAACTTCTCTTGCTTCAAAACAATGCTGCCCAACCTAGGCTCAAACTAGAACGTAATGCAATCCCTGTATCCTAGTTATGAGCACTACACCGCCAACTCGGCACATCTGCATGGCCCTGTACACCACAATGCAAACATGTCCATCTATCTCTCAGGCCCATTCTTTCTGGCGCTTGCCCTGTTGATGTTTCCTCAAGGAAACTGCTGCGTCGATAGAATCTGCACTATACATGAAATAACTAACACATTCGCAGCATGAAGCCAAAATCCATGCACCGCTCTATACAGGCTGGGATGAAGTTCAGGAACCAGTGCCACGAAATTGTCCAAAGACCCGTGGGCCTCCAATTTGAGTCCCCTGAAGTACTTGAATCCCTATGCTGAGGACTCCAGATGATCCCTGATTGTTGGAAACTAGCATCTTGGATGAAGACTTGGGGCATGCTCTGCACTAAATATGGATCACAAGACAGCCCAGCGTCGTGGCACCAGCCCCCATTCAAAATTGAACAGTTGTATTACCAACAGGCCCCTCGTGGACCCACTCAAGCAGCCACCCAGAGGATTGCTGATACATCTCCTCAGCTTCCCTGGGTGCATGCTGTCCTCTGAGCCAAGAGAACCCCAAGCGCGCCAGAGCTCCACTGCAGGGGGCTGATATTCATAATCATATCTCCCTTCTAGAACCCTATGTAATGTAGTAGTTTCCATTTTGTTTTCCATTATCCCCTATATGAACATAATACCTTGAACATGTTTTTAGATCACGGACCGCGAGGGTGACTTCATGACACTGCTTTGCAAATGCAAATTGGGCACGGCGTGGCTAGCTCTTTGTTGTAGGCATAAAGGTGACTAGGGTTTGTGGCGATACTAGCGCAACAATGAGTTAAGCTGCTAGCGTATGGAGATGAGATGAGGCTCTGCTCAGGAGTTGTGAAGTTAAGTTGTGCTGTTGCGCACCATATGTTCACACTGGCAAAGTGAGAGCAAACCCTTGCATCCCTGTACTTTAAGATCCTTTCAATCCTCTGCAGGAGCTTTTGCACTAGCGCTGCCCAAGGGCCCACCCAGGCTGGAAAAGAAAACCTCAGTAAACATCTTGGAATCAAGCTTTGAAGCAACTCTCATCTCCGTTGGGTGTGACTCATTTGCCTACCCCTGGCTCGGGGCATAGCGTCCTGAGGACTTGCTGGAAGACTTGCTGGAGCGACGGGACCCAGTGTCTGGCTCCACGCGTGACAGCTTGGATGAGCCTCGCGAGCGCTCAGGCGTCAGCTGGCGGCTTTCACTCCCAGACATGCTTTCTATGTTTCCGTCCACATGGTGCGCCCAGAGTGTCGAGTTCACGATCGTGGGTGGCAATGTGCTGGAGGTAGTGCTTGAAGTCTCCCAACCCTTCGCCGCCATCCGCAGCGGGACCGAGCTTTGCGTATTGCAGCTCACCTGGCTGCTGACCCGAGATCCGGGGATCAAAGCACGGTCTGATGACACTGAAACCGTTGACATCTTGCTGCTTGTGCGTGAGCGCGGAGGTTGCTCTGCGTTATTTGGCTGGGGGCACTTCTCAGCCGGTGCATGGACTGTCACCGCAGGAACCTCGGCAACCCGTAAGTCCGCCATCGACTTCTGAGGTACCGTAGCCAGCCACATGCAGGCAATAGCCCCACACAACAGCAGACCGCCAGCCACCACGGCTGCCGCGGCAACGGGGAAATCTCCCCCATCCAAAGTCCCTGCTTTCGAGGCTGCCGTGCTTGGTGTAGTCGTCGGGGCTAGGGTGGTTCTCGGCTCTGGTGCCACATAACTCGGAGGCGGACTTGGCTGCACGGGAACATAGGCCATGGTTGTCTGGGGGCGGGTGGTGACAGGGGCTGGATTGGAGGTCACGGAGCCAATGCTCCCGCTGGCCGGCGGAGAGTAAATTGGCTGCCCCGGTCTCGCGCAGGCGCAATTGCAGTCTGCAGTGGCAAACCACTGACCACCCGCACAGGATGAGGCACAAGCCCAAGGGTAGAATGCGTTCCCCATGGTGACGTCCACATAGCCTGGCTCACATTGAGGTGCCCCAACACGTGGAGTGGAGTCTGGTACGCTTTGCAGCTGCCTGGTGTCCTCTGCACCACGCAGGCTGCGACCCGGCATTGCAGATGCAGCACTGGAGGTGTAGAGAAGCGACAAGATGAGACCAAACATCGCCCTCGGCCTGAATCCTTGCACCCTATCTTCTGCAGCGGCCGATGCTGAGCACGGCTTGATGAAAGCTGGCTTGCAAGAGATGTTAAGGTTGGGGCTTTGTGTCATGGCTGCCAGTGGACCTTCAAATTCGAACTCAATCCATCTGTTGCACCGAAGGGCTCAAAGACGAAGACCAGTAACATGCCTGTAGACACTTAGAAGTTAGAAGTCTACAGCGTGCCGGAGGAGCCAGTGAAGGGGCCCGTACTTGGGATTCACAAATGCTGAGCACAGTGCCTCTGCAGCTTGCATCCGCCATGGCTGAATTGCAAGTGCCGCTGCCGCGTTGTCACCGCGGAACTCTCTGCTGCTTGTTTACTTTCTATGGTGGGTCTCGGCATGTCCTTCTGACTGCTGTGTCGCTCAAATGCAGGGTCGCGTGCGTGTCAGCTCAGTCTGCGGCTGCGCAAACTGCTTTCTGACTGGACTTGCTTCTTGCTACACGTGTTTGCGTCTTCATGGATTGGGCAGATGAGAGATCAATAATGGCAATAGTAATGCAGTCCTTGATGTGAACCCACATTGCGCACATTGCACTTCGAGTCTTCTGCGCTAAACATAATGCAGGGAAACCGCAGGTCCTCTTAATAGCCTTCTGGGTCCTAAATATTGGCTCGTAATTGGGCTTGTAGGGCTTTGTAGGAAACACACTAGGTGTACACGGGGTACACACCACAGAGCAAAAACTGGGAGCGTCTTCTACGGGTTCTTTGAAGGGAACATGGGAAGGTAATCCCTATAACATCCCTATATCACATGTTCGCTTATTCCATACAAGAACCAGTACGCAAGGCAGAAACTGGGAGCATTTTTGGGCTTCCGCATGAGCACGTTGGCGCGGCGGTCTGTGTTGCAACCTGCTCTGACTGCTTCATGTCACCCAGAGCAGGCAGTTCCTCTTTGAATCTTGCGGGGGGATACCGAGAACCAAAGGTCTGCTTCTAGGCTGATACAGTACAGGCAGCCCAAATCAAAGGACACTTTAGCCTTTTCTAAGCTTTGCGGCAGGATGCCAGCTTCAGTGAAACTGTTTGAACAAACAGGGGCTGTTCCAATGCAGCGGGCTGCTTTGTGCAATTGAAGATTGCTTGCAAGTAGGTGGCTGGAAAACAATGGGCATTTTAGAAACAACCCCAAGAGTTCAATACTGTGCTGTTCTGCAACGAAAGATGGATAGCCCGATCCGGGCTAAAGGCTCTGTGGGTGCACTTCGCCTTGGCAAGGCGTCCTCAAATTCAGGCTCTGCTTTCAAGCAAGCTGGGGGTTATATGGGGATAATGGAAAAAATGGAAACGACTATAATTGGTTATATAGGGTTTAGGGTTTAGGGTTTAGGGCTCCATTAATGCCGGAAAACCAAAGGCTAAAGTTTCTGAATGCACTTACTGGAAGCTGTGGGCAACCAGAATCAAACGTGGCTGCGGGAGAAAAGACTCTTCACCAAAGGTTCTTCCGTCGGAGGCCAGCATGCTTAAAAGAATCTTCACTGCACCCAGCACTTTGTATGTATGAACATCTCCAGATCCCCCCCCCCCGAATGCCTGCAAGAAAACTATAACTAGCGTCACCCTCGAATTTCCCGAGACCATGGATCCTGGACACCCAATCAAAATAGTAATAAGAAGAATAACAATAATAAAAATAGTAGTAGTAGTAATAACAGTAGCAATAGTAAATAATGGTAATAATAATTCCTACGTCCCTGAACCGCAGCCTGAGAACCTGCAAGCCTTAGCCATTCTTTTTGTACGATACCCGTCTGGCAAACACTGAAGAATATTCATGGTCCTTGATTCTTCTGCTTGCCTGGGTCCATAGGCCAAAATGCCTATCTTTGGCAACCATAGCCATCTTTCTGCAGTTCTCTGCTGCGCAGCTCCAAGCCTCAAGCCTCAAAAAAAGGAAGCCTTACATCCATGAGATCCGAACCGGAGATGGATTGTGTGGGCTGCCGCTGTCATTGTCGTAGCGGGGTACGAGCCTGGCAAAAGGCAGGAGGCGATGTTGTGAATATCTTCATGGCAACTGGCCGCTGCGCGCCACAAATGCACTTTTTGTAGGTGCCTGTGCCAATCTGTTGAGGGTGTTGGCATTTTGTGCTTTTACTTTTGCGGATGCTGTGGACATTGTTGATCGCTTGAGGGTTTGACAGACTGTCACTTGCAATGCTCATGGGTTTAGTGTGCATTTTTTGGGGGGTGCCTTAAATAATCAGGCATGCACTGCCATAAGGACATCAACTTGAAAAGCTGAGATTGTAGAAAACGTCGATCTTAGATTTCAAGCTGCTCGAGCTTTGCAAGCCTGAGTTTCCTTTCAATGCTTGTTGTACTTGCTATCATGACTATCGTGACTACTCACCTTGGCCTAGTTCAAAAAAGCATTTATCAGAATAGTCGCTTTAAAACAAATGGTCTCTTCTATCATATCAGGGGGAATGGATCACACTGTCTATCCCGATCTACTGGCCTTTGGTTAGCCAGGAATGAAGTCATGGATCCTTGTAGTAGTCCCTATATAACCCATCTTAGTAACTTGCATTTTTCTTTTCCATTCCTCCATATTTCAAGCTACCCAAAGGCAAGTCTAGTGGAAAGATCGCCTCACTTCCGAAGGAGCGAGTTGTCGACCATCGGTCGAAGCATCGGAAGAAGCACCGCCCGCACTTTTCAAGGAAGCCTTGCTTGGGCAGTCTACGAATTTACTTGCAGATTGCTGGGAATGAAGGTATGAAACATTCAAATGGAAACTGCTACAGTATTGAGCTTGTATAGTGGCCACGGTACGGATAATTTCCTCCATTCACTAAGAACAACCAAGAAGTTGAGGGGTGTGGATGCAAGACTCCGGGTCTAGGGCCACACCACAGCGTGGTTCATCACTGTGGGTCTTGATAGAAGGGGGATCCTACGGTTCAGGGGTACATTGAAGGGATCTCTGCTCGGAGCCTCCCGTCTGTGAATCAACTAAACCCTAAACTAAACCCCAAACCTTAAACCCCCAGTAACCCTAAACCCTAATCCCTAAACGCAAGTGCAGGCTGGCCTCTTGATGATGTCGTGCTCGCCTGGGCCGTGGAGTTGCATCTTTTACACCAAGACATGTCATAACGTCCCCAAGCCCGGCACTTCAAAGCAGGAACTAATATGGGAATGTATAGGGGTTGTATAGGGATAATGGAAAAGAAAGTGGAAACAAGTACTTGATAATACGGTATGTATTGGGGTTAAGTTGTACCCTAAGTCCCATACGAATCCTCAACCCCAAGCACCCAGGCCCTGGAATCTCAATTCAGAGAACTGCTTCAGAAGCTCAGCAGAATCCAGCGAAATAAACCTATGTGACCCTTGTGTAGCTTGTTCCACTGTTCCCAACCTACAAAGCCCTGCTTCTCTATTAAAGCCCCTTGAGTTTTAGAAGGCCTGGCCTCCTCCATGCTTAAGGACTCTGGCATCTCGTCCACGGAGTCAAGGAGGAAGTAATGTGTGCCTCATGCGTCATGACTCATTCTTAGCACGTGCAACGGGTTGTACATGGTTGTATGGCTAGACGGAGATTGTCTTGCAAGTTCTGCACCCTTTCGAGATACTGCATACAGTAGCACGGCACCCAGGCATAGTCGCAATAACAACAGTCACCACAGTACTTCTCGCAAGAGGACTAGAAGTATAGCCTCATGCTTTTGCCCGCCCCTCCCCTCCCCTCCCCTCCACTCCCCTCCACTCCCCTCCACTCCCCTCCTCTGCCCTCATAATCATCCCCCCCAATAATCAGTACTGCCAATATAATACCAGTCAATGTTCCCAAAACATTGCTACCCATAACAAATGCTCCCAATATTATACTATCCCTCCCCTCCCCACTGCCCTCCTTCACCCTTATAATCATCCCCCCCGTATTCAATATTATAGTAACATAGTACCCCTCCCCTCCCCTCCCCCGCCTAAGTGTATGATCAATGGGCGCATGTGCCGCAGCTCTTCGAAGCTGGGCCGGGCCCGATCCTCTGGGCGGCCTTCGGAAACAGGCTCCTGGGCATCAGTGTGAGTAGCAGTGCAGGGATGGTGTGAAGTCTATAAACTTATATGATGCATGTAATCATGAGGGTCTGCATATCTGTAGATACACACATACATTTACAGAGGATGTATGACAGAAGGACGTCATAAGGACTGCGTTCTAACTTGCGCTTTGGGACCACGTCTGAGCGGGACTAAAGGATGCTGAATGCAGAAACAAGCTGCTAAACGGAATTTGGGAGTCAGCAACGGCAACAGACACAGAGGAAGATGAGCTGCAACAGCCGCTGGCATCACTCAGAAAGGACATAGAACTTTTGATGAGCCAGTCTAAACTCCCTGTATCCCCCCTTGTAGCCCCTATAATAGTCACCCATAGGATCCCCTATATAACCTCTCTTCAAGGAGTCTAGGTTCTAGCCCAGATGGCCATGCCATGCCAGTGTTGGGGAATAGGCGGCCTGATCCCACAAGTCCCCCTTAAAGATGATCCCATCGCAATCTCCATAATATGGTATTTTCCCGAATAGGGGGACCCGGATATAGACCCTAATATACTCTTTTCCTTGTTCTGGGATCCTCCAAAAAGGTACCCCTAATGCTGCGAAGCCCCCATATCTATATCAGTCAGCCATCTGGGTCTTCATTACCTACTCGGACACCGCGAGACAATGATCTCTCTGGGGGTCAGGCGGCTGTGATGAGGCGGAACCCTTGCCTCAAAGACATGTCACTCCAAATCTTAAGCCTTCTTAAAGTCGACCTAAAAAAAGGTAGTCCTGAACTGGCCGATCTTCAACAACAATTGTGTGAATACTATGAATAACAGTAATACTAGTAATAAGAATACTGGTAATAATAATGGTATTAGTAATAGTAATAAGAGTACTAGTAGAAAAGTAGTAATAATGGTAATATCAAGAATGTGCGAATGCTAAGTCCCAAACCTCAGGTCTGACGATTCAAGCACTCTCGAACACCTTAAGACTGGTATTATGAGAGGGAATCAGCAAGGCCCTCCAAGAGGGACCACAATCAATGCCAAAACCTCAACTGTAACATTTCCACGGCATGTGAGGTCTTCTTAGGCATGGGCCCCTCATGACACCGATGATGACTCTTGGCAAGTCTTATCCCAAGCCCTTCACTCCAACCAATCCAGGCTGTACTGTGTCATTGGGTGTATGCCTAGAAGCCCAAATGGTGTTGTCATACAATTCAGACTATGCAGAAATGTACGTAGAACCTCTTGGCCCCTAAGCACCCAGCTCATGTAGTCGGCGCCCGGCATCAGCGAGGGAGTCGGGCTAAGTACACAGACTAAGGAGTTTACAAAGACGGAGGGTCCCTTCTTTACGCTGTTTAGGGTCCTTCATTTTTGTGCGGGAGGTTTTAGCGGTTTCCAGAATCTTTAGTTAATTCTATGGAGGCTGTCATCACAATAGGAAGCAGGGCACCTACTAGCGGATGTTTAGAAGAAACGCTGTGAAGTCAACAGCTTTCATACCAGAAGTCACTCACTGTTGTTAGTGGCGGTGCTGATTGAATCCATTCGGCTGGGGCAATACCAGCGGCCTTCATGGCTCGAATTTGTCAACCATGGCAGACATGACATCCGAGGGTAAAAATTTCCTGAGGCCCAGCACGTTGGCAACGTCCAGGTTTACCTGATCCTCTGAAGGGAGCCCCGCAGCTGCAAGTGCCAGCATCGTGTGATCCTTAGCAGCCCGCTGGTGAGGATTTATAGGCTTCCTCAACATTAGAGGCCCCCTTTTTTGCTGGCTGATTACCAGGGTCATCATGGGATCTACATTGGGAGCCTCTAGTTTTGGAAATGCCCAGTTCATGCCTGCTGAGAATGCCACCTGCGCATCAAGAAGAGGAATCAGACGAAACTTGAGGAGGCTCAGCACTTGTCCCTACCCTGGCCCAAGCGCGCGACGCCAGTCTCTTCAGATGCGTGGAAGTCTGGGGTGACCTGTGCCACGGGCTTAAGCTTGAAGGGGACAGCCCATTGGACCACACCGGGTGAGCACCATGTTTATCATGAGGAACAGCCAGAACCTTTGTGGTCTCACCGACGCCACGCTTGTAGTTTTCTTGGAAATGAGAAGACAAAAGGCGCCTCCACGACGGGAGTCCAGCGTCTGCAAAGCTTGGCGCACAAAAGCGAGAGCTCGGAGTGGGTTAGGAAGCAGTTGGTGTCCTCCAAAACCGCTGATGACATGCAGAAACTAGATGCCCCAAAGAGTCTCTGTCGCTGTAACAATAAGTCAATGGAATTTCCCGAGAAGGGTCCCATTCTCAGACTACTACAGGGGTGCCAGCGTGTTGGCTCTGCGAGCAAACCGTGTCGCAGACCCTGATTGTATAGCTATATTACATACCCGTTATTCAGGGCTTGAAGGTCCCATGATGTAGGCCTTAGGGTTTCGGCTTAAACCTTCAGCCCTGATGCTTCAGAGCTCCTGAATCCCTCGAACTCCAAGCTCACTTGAGACCAGGTCCAAGTGCGATCCCCGAACTCCACTCCTGGCAGGTGTTAGGGTTTGGGGATGCTCTTCTGCTTTGAGTTTTGTGTTTGGTGCTTTGCACTTTCGGGTTTGGAGTTCAAGATCTGGGGCTTTGCGCCTTACAATCTTAGAGTCCGGGATTTGGTGCTTTGGAATTTTGAGTTTGGGGTTTTAGGCCAATGGATGAACTCCGCATGTTTCAGCCCGGAATCCTTTTCCCCCGAAGGCAAGAAAAAGCAACTCCCTTATAAGATGAGGATAGTCCCTCAGGTAAGGTCCTCCTTAAGCCAATACGGTTCAATCTGCCACGACTATGTGACTTTAATCGATATCCTCCAGGTCAGACAAGGGCAATTTTGCTTTGGCCTGATGCACTCGTGAAATGAAACTGCAAGAGGATAGACTTTGAGAGATGCTGTTTCTTTCCTGGGTACTTCCTCACTCTACTGAAAGCAACGTTCCTCAGAAGGCCGAAAAGTGTTAGCATGAGGAAGATTTGTTACTGGGGGTTAGGGCTTCGCTATCTTTAGGTAGGGAGAAGAGACAAGTAAGAAGCAGGCAATATCCTACAGTCCGACAGTCTCTCATGGTCGCTATTGTTCATGACGTGAGTGCTTTGTGCTAAAAGCTATGCCAGGGGACATTATTCAACATGTCTCGTAGAAAGCCCCAAAGCAACCTGGACACTGGAACCGCAAAAGGCGACATTCGCAAGGACAACGGCAACCCTTTTTGGGGTTCAATATTTTGTTTGGTGGAGCGCAAAACATCGTTTTTTGCTAGTACTGAACACCTTGGATCTCCCACTATTTCTTCTTCCTTGTTAAAGTAGCCCACGCATATTGGAGACCCTTTCTCACAAGCCCTAAGCCCCATCAAGTTTCTCCCTGCGCATGGTTTTTCAACGCTGGCTCGCCAAAACTGAGACGCTAAGGTCGCGTCACTAAACGAGTTGGATACTAAATTTGCCACAAGGGCAAATGCGAGCAGCGGTTGCGTACAGACATAGGTCCTACAGTGTCCTACAGCCTCCACCACGGAACCCGAGCCTCTTTTGGGACTCAGGTGGAACGAACAGGAGGAGACTCAAAAGTTGGGGACTTCCCGCCCCCAATTGTGGGCCTTATTGACCCTCTAAGAAACTCAGAGGCTGCTGCCCTCTGTCTGGGGCACCTCGGAAGACTTGGCTGAACCCGCGTCCTGCTGGGCCTTGCCGCCCAAGAGCCTTGGCAAGTAGCCGTAGCCGCCGGCCTCTGGATCTGGCGTCTCCTTTGCTGGCTCGTCCAGTTTGAGCATGATCTTGTAAACACCTGCGGCAAGACTTGCTCCAAGGAGAGGGCCAATCCAGAAGATCCACATGTCGCGCCAGTAGCTGGGCCCCATAACGTCGTCGGAGACGGTTGGTTCAACCTTCACGGTGGACGCCACTGCTACCGCACCCACCATGTTAGCTCCGGGCTCCTCGGACTTTGGAGCTTCCATGCGGTGGATGTTCAAGAGAGCGGGGCCAAAGGAGCGTGTAGGGTTGATGGAGCAGCCGTCGATGGGGATCAGGACGCAGTGGGCCATGAACACAGCCAGGCCGATGGCGATGCAGGCCTGAAAAATCACCCCTCGCACAGCCCTGAAACCCTCCAATTCTCCACGAACCCTACACAATTTTCCCTTCAATGGCCCCTTCATTGCTGCCCGCCCCCATACCACAGAAAGGACATGTTGCCTGACTGCGGTTCACCGCCGACTTTGGATTACAGGCTGTTTGAAGGACCACGAACATCAGCAGGAAGGTGCCCATGATCTCGGCGAACAAAGCATTCCACCAATGCCACTTCGGACCCACGCTGTTGGCCCCCAAGCTTTTCCTGTAGCTAGTTCGGGGACCAAACGATAGCTTCAATCATCTTGACTCTTGTGAGCTTCGTGCGCTTATCTGGGCCTACATGAGAGATCTGCATACATATATATATATATATGTATACATACATATATGCTTGCGTGGCTTTCTGTAAAAAAGAAACATGTTCAAATCAACCAGGGATCGTCATGTCCAGCTCAGATGGGAAGATCGCACAGAGGACGCTAGCACCCAGGATGGAGCCCAACATCTGGGAGCCAAAGTTGCAGATTCCCTGAGGCAGCGCACCTCCAGTTGATTTTGGGGAGGGGCTCAAGTTTCTGGAGTTCATGTTCTTTAGGGCTAGGCTAGGGTGTTTGGGGTTCAGGCTTTGCGTCTAGGGCTGCGGGTTTCCAACATATAGGGGTCCCTTTTTGGCGTGCTCCTTGTCATGGCGTCTATCTTGTATTTCGGGGTCTGAAGGGGGATGCTATGTCTTGGATAAATTTAGACGGGAGCTCCGGAAAAGTTCAATCACGGCTTCCGCACTTGTACATCCAAGGTAGTACCCCCAAAAGGTATGCTTAAGTAAGCCCAAGGGTATTTTCGGTACAACTCTGAAATCCGGGTTATTCGCTGAGTTAACACCATACCCTGGGCCCTACGCCCTGAGCCCTCTCGACCCTACCATAAAATCAACCCAGCCGCAGTCGCCGGTGAGGACCAGGCCCAGCGTCACAGCGCAGTTGAGGTGGCCACCGCTGTAGTGTCCAATGGCATAAGCCAAGGCAGTAATGGAGAGGCCAAAGACCAAGGCTACCATCAATACGTAGCCAGGAATCATGGAGGTCGTCTCTCCCGCGGTGGTCTCCTCGGTATTTTTCAGAGACCTTCTCAAAATAGAGGCATTTTGGGTTTAATTATGGGAGGTTCCTGCGAAAGGATTGTATGCGGACTGTTTGGAGAAAGTCCCTCCTCCTCATTGGCGCCGCTGCCGCCTTCATCGCCTGAGCCCTGGATACCCATAGCACTGCCACATCCGATGGTCACGAACAGGGCCATACCGACGAACTCGGCAAAGCACGCGACAAGGGAGACATCTTTGAAGAACTTCATCTCTTCCTTCAAACCCACGGGATGTGACACACTGCCAGCGGGATATCGTCGGAGCCAAAGGCTGCGGTACCGCACCAAATGCCCTTCAGCTGTGCAAACTGAAGGCAAAAAAGGATCAAGGTTGGAGAAACATGAACGTTTCTTGAGGTAAGGCGTTGCGTTTATGGTGGTCTGAGCTCATGGGACTACATGTGATACGGTCAGAACTTCAGGGCCCCTACGCGGTTCTTGCACTTGCTTCAAGCAAGGGCCTCGCAAGTAGACTCATGATAACCCTTTGAACCACACTGGCAGTCATAAGAACCTTTCAGACCTTTAGTTTGTGGTGACCACCGCGCTCTATCAGGTTGTTACAGAGCTTTCATTACTTGGGCTGTGTGCAGGTTTCTGGCATTTCCTAGACTTTCTGTAAGGAAACCATATGATTCGGAACGACATTGCGATTGCTTGTAGGGGAAGTGGTAGCAGGAGCTTCAGTCCATACTGCCCAATTCAGAATCCCAGTAGGAGGTATGTAGCTAGTAGAGGAATGGTCAACCCTAAACCCTAAATAGTAAGTAGTTTCCACTGTATTTTCGATTCTCCCTATATAATCCTCAAGAAATCTCAATATAATTCCCATATCAACGCCATGATGCCTTCACTTTGAAGTCCTGACATGCCAGGGTGCATCCTGAAAGAGCCCTGGAGAGAGAGCCTGCAGGAAATGTGGAATGCCCGGAAAGGTTACTGCTGTTTCAGGCTTCCGAAGCCGAATTCCAAGCCACTACTAACCCCCAAAAAAATCAACTGAAAGCGCTAACTCACCCCTAGCTACAAAAACAAAACTCAATCCTAAGCTCCCGAATGCTGAATTCGCTTCATGAATCCTGGGCCACTTTCTAAGTCCTCCTTACTGAACTCCAGCGGCCAAGCCCTGAAACATGAACAACACGTTGCTTGGGCGATGTCTCGCAGGAAAGGTGCCCACAAGGCATAGAGCCCGGTACCTCCAATACTAGGACTAGGATCATATTTTCAAAGGCTGCCCTGTCGCAGCCTTAAACAGCGAAGCTTGATGTCAGCGATGTTCCATAGTCGTTCCCAGATTCGATCCTGCTACGCAGAGTTGCTTGGTGAGTCTGGGGCTTTAGACATGCTTTGGGATTTACTTACTTGGGGTTTACTTGTGGGTGGTAGCCGGGCGTGGATGAATTGATGCCTCCCGCAGTCCGTGTATCATCCAATGCCGAGGCCCCAAAACCGCAAAATCCCTTTTTCATCTTTGAGGCTGAGCTTGGTGTTTGGCTTAGGCTTGGGGATGTTTGAGAACATGCAGACGACTCTTTCCAGCCCGTACAGCGAAGCCCGAACCCAGAAATCAGTTGGCAATAGCAATAGAAAGAATATCAAGAATAGTAATTCGAATACTAGTAATAGCAATAGCAAATCCCAGAAACCTCAAAACTTCATCCGAAAGCCAGAATCCTCAACCACACCCCGTAGGGACTCCAAATGAAATCCATGCCCCCGGAGAATTCTCTTCTGCCTTTCTGCCTGCTTGCTGCTGCATGCTCTGGCCCTAAGACCTAGCCCGACCTCCAACCACTGCCCTTAATAGCACGAATTATATGAACCATGAATATTAATGTGGGTCCTTTAGGGGAGGATATAACCCCTATATAACCCCTATCTAACCCAATATATACCCCCTGTAACATCCTATATAACCCCTGCATAATCCCTATATATCCCCTCAATCCCCCTATAAAACCCTTTATGATCCCTCTATAACCCTTGTATAACCCCTGTCAAATCCCTATATAACTTCCCCTACCCTGTGGACGCCTCCGGTGACGGACGCTGACCCGCCGCGCGCGCACGGCCGGCCTCGAGACGAAGGGAGTCCAGCTCCTCGATGACCTGAGGCTTTCAAGGTAGCCATAGGTCATGGGATTATGTAGAGGGAATATGTGGATTAGATAGGGGTTATATAAGGAATGTACAGGGGTTGTATGTGGGTTTGATAGGGGTTATATACGGGTTACATAGGGGATATATACGGGTTATATAGGGATTATATGGGGTTGTATAAGGGGTATATAGGGACAGGGGTTATATAGCGATAATGGAAGAGAAAATGGAAACTAGTTTAAGTCATCATAGCTTAGAACATCATGCTACAATCATCCTCTCACTCTTACGCATCATAACTGAGAAGCAAGTGGACAATCCTCAACACGAATAATACGAATTACTGTAAGAAGACGTAGACGAAGGATTAGAAGTAAAGCAGTGGCAACAGTAGTAGTTGTATTAGTGGGGAAGTCGTACGGATATCACGGCCGCGGCAGTGGTGGGGGAGCAAGACGACTAGCTTTCATGAAGAGAGAAAGAGGGGAAGGACGCAAATGAAACCAAGAGAGAAGATGAAGCGGCTGGATTTGCGACAACAAATAGTAGTTTCAATTTTAATTTCCATCATCCCAATATGACCCAATATAACCCGAATATTACCCCAATAAGACGACTTCCGAATCATGGCAGTTGGGTACTTGCAATACTGTCTGGAATTGCTAGCGTACAAGGCAAACAAGGAAAGGCCCCATCCTCTCCAACTAGCACAACAGCTATCAGCTATGATGGAGGGTCCGCCGCAGAAAGCTATATAAGGTTGAAATGTATGTAATAGTTGTTATGCGAGCAATAACAGCAATAATTGTAATCATAGTAGTACCAATAGAGCGACAACTACTAAGCCATAGCACTTTCCATTTTCTTGTCAACTCGGTTTAGGGCTCAGGATTTAGGGATCAGCGAAAAGAAAAAGACCCTACTACAGCATAGCAATATGACTGGAAGAGAAAATAATCAAAAACTGGTTCTACATATATTTCTATCTCTCTCTCTCTCTCTCGCTCTCTCTCTCTCTCTCTCTCTCTCTCTTCCCACATCTCCCCATACAACCCTATTTAAGCCGCCTGGTATCCACATAGTTTGGGGTTTTGGACCAGCACCAAGCTCAGGACTCTCTGCAGAGCACGGGGAAGGTCGGTGCCAAGGAGGTAGGCCAAACACCTAATGTGGGTTGCTGTTAAGGAACTTAAGTTAAGTCACCATAATGTGGGTACATAGGGCTTAGGAATTAAGTTCTAAGAATATGGGTATATAGTAGTTAATAGGGCTTCCTCATGATACTGACGAAACTTTTAGTTCCTTAAAAGCAGCCCAGTAATGCAAGCAACGATAGCGATAATAGTATCAGTCATAATAACTCTACCGAAAGTAATAACAGCAGTAATAAGTGCAAGAACAACCGAAATAGGAACAATAAAGAGAATAGTAGTACTGTAATGCCACTAGTAACAATGGTGGTACTGCAATAACACGCGCAAAAATTAATGAAAGTGCTGAGAATACTAGCAACAGCAACCATGCACTTCCCAAAGCAGCATGGGGATTGGCAGTTCTGCCAAAAAAAATACATCGGACTGCTATGGGGTCCTTTCCGAGGGGTTACTGATCACAGGAGCTAAGTTGTGCGGGGGATCTATAATGCGAGAAGCCAGCTTGTAAATGGGGGTCATGGTTGCCCACCCTTATTACTACTATTGCTATTACCATTACTAGTACTATCACCCGTACTATTCCTACTTCTACTATTAATCTATTACCATCATTACTATTAGTACGATTATCACAATTAATACTATTGCTACTATTAATGTTGCCCCGCGGTTGGCCAGCCATCATCCGCCCTATCATGTAAGGAAAGGGCCAGAAGCCGCAGAAGCCGTCGTCCTCCGAAGAGCAGCTGAATGACTGGCCCCATATCACATGGAGGCTTCCCAAAAATTAGGGGTACCTTTTGGGGGTTCCCCATAATAAGTGTTTTGGTGTCTATGTTAGGGTCCCCATATTTATCATGTATCTCCAGTGCGCTAGCTTAGCGTAAGTTCTAAATAACAACCGAGAAAGCCAGCCTCCACAGCCACAACCCCGCATCGCCTTCGTAGCTCCTTGCAGGGAGCGTATTCACGCGAGTTCATGTCTCCCAGAGGCCACAGCAAAGCAAGCTTGCTGGAGGTGGTCTTTGGGGTTGCTGCTAGTAGGGATCTACTGCTTCAAATCACCATCGTGCGGATATATACTGAGTCAGAAGGCCTCCGTTTTTATGTCATTTCAATCCATTAAGAGCAACCCAGTGTAAACAAGTTCTTGTGGGATTTTGCCTAAATGCCCAACACACTCTTTACATTGCCCCTAGACTTGAAACTTCATCCCTGCACCCACAGACAGTCTTGAAATCCAAGTTCAGGAAGACAGGGAGAATACACCCTAACCTCCTTAGAGCTTTGTAAGGAGCAAGCAAATGGACTAATGAGACAATCCTGAAGGTGCTGCGAAATATGAAAGCATTTCAGGAAGCAACGCCAAATTTTGGAGATCATACATCCTAGGTGCAGACACTGAAGCCGAGACCCCCATAAACCTTAACCAAGCCCTAAAACCCTAAACAAGGAAACCTTTGCCTCGGGTGTGCCCGGCACGGCCACGCCCCGCTCAGCGGCACCAATAGCTCTGAGAAAGACCTGGGTTTAGGGTTTGCAGGGTATAGTTCCAGTGCGGAGGGTTGTAGGGCCTTAGGGATCCTTCTGACGGATTATTGGAGGAAGATCCAAGAAGCGCTTATCTGCTCTGTTGAGAACACAATGCTTGTAGCTGGCGCTCTATAAACTCAAGGCTCTTGCTGAAACCGGCTATGCAACTTAGTGCTTCCCCGAATTTCTGCTCATGAAGTCCCAACATACAAGCAGACCCTACACACCCCTAGAAATCTCCTGCTTATGAGCATCCATACGAAGAAGTGAGCCCGCCACAGCAAAGCCTGCACGCTCCAGCCATTGCCGCGGACTCACCTGGTCGTCCAGGTAAGGAGGACTCAAAAAAAAACGGATGATAAGCCTCTATGCAGATCATAGGGGAATTTAGGGATGTTTGCTGGATGATACCTGCAGGATTCCACGTCTTGGAGCTTCGAATCCTGCGAAAGTTCTTCGGGCTGTCAAGTTGAGGCGTGGTCGGCCGAGGCACAATCCTGCTTCTGTTGTCTGAAGATGGGCGTGATTCTGGAAAAATGTCGTTTTGGACTCTACCGTGTATAGTGTAGAGCTCATGCACAGAATCTCTGCAAGGGGCAACGACCTGCTGATAATTTCAAAGAAGCATCATTGCAATATGCAACCTAGAAGGGCATGTAATGCTTACACCAAGAAGCCGTACCCTGAATTGGCTTCTAACCCGTGAATCTCAGACGCCGGTCCTCAACAACTTTCCTCTTCATTCTCTCAGAATCCTAAAGAATCGCTGCATGCCCTAATTACATAAACCTCCGAGGTCCCCTGCTTACCCCAAAGCCCAAAGTCTGAACCCCAAACCTTACAGTCCCCCTTAAATAGATAGAATATGGCTTTGGGTATATCATAATAAGATCCCCATATACCCCATATTCCATCTACTTAAGGGGGACTATAAACACAGACCTTTGAACCATCGCCCGAGTTGGCCTCCTCCTCACAGGGCCACGGGCTCCCGAAACGGGGCGCGCGCTGCGGAGGGCGCTCGGCGGTCCTGCTCAAGTTGTACACAGGCATCGCTGATTCTGAGGTAAATAGTTTGGACGGTAATTATGTGGCTCATATGGACGAGCTGGCTTCTAAGAGCCTCGCGGAGAACCGAGTACTTGGCAGGACTGGCAATGCACTTGATTCTTACGCCGTCCTTGCAACGCATAAGTAGGAACCTCTGAGTGCATCTTGAAATGGTAACTTTCCTCATCGCACGCAGTCTTCAACTGGTCAGGGGCAACTGGCGGTCGCCAAGCAGATCAGGGTCCATGCACCTAGACTCGTGTGGAATCTCACAAGACTGGCGACAATTCCCCACGATTTCTTGTGTAGGCCATTACGCAACAAGAACACCCCACAGTTTCGCAGCAAGCAGCTTGGACACTCCCCAGCGCGGTGTCCTGATGAGGCCTCCCCAGCATTGCTCAAAGTTGCCCATGACCAGAGGATCTCCCAGCAGGAATTCCTTGGCGACCTCGTGGGATAAGGGTTTATGATGTTAAGGTTAATGTCGAGCTTCGGGCTAAAAGGACTTGGGGTTCAGGGCCAGCTCAGGGCTTAAGAGCGCGGCACCAGGAAGCCCAGAAGGAGTGTATTGTCTGTTGGTTGAAGCTCATCTGATAATCTCAAAGCAAGGGTTGGAGCCCTTGCTTCAGCAGGTAGTGCCCCTTGTGGGCAGACCCCATGCTTGAGACACTACAAGAACCTACCAGGATCTGAAAAACAATGCTACCAGGAACTCCTAGTGACTTTCTCAGTGTTGCTAGAGAAGAACACCAAGCGACCAAGTGATTTTCTCCACAGACCCAGAAGACACTTGAGTTCTTCTACAACTCATGCTCAGTCGGTAGCGTCTCCTTTCTGTTACAATGTCCACCAACTTGTCCAACTTGCAAACATGCAATGCATTTGCAAGTGAAGCACCCCTGTTTTTTGTCGATTCTCGATGCGCAGAGGACGATCCTCAATGCACTGGTTGAATGAATCCTTTGAGCAAGTAGATCCAATATACAACTCGAAGCGCTTGGGCTGCGGACACAGAAATTCTCAAAACTTGTGTTGCTCCCCTTCAGGGACTTCAAGGTGGAATGCCGGCCGATTTACAAGTCTAGGTGGCGGGTGCTGCTCCCTTTCAGGGATCTTTAGTTACCACTGCTCCCACCACTGTGGGCTCAGGTCCTGGTTTTTCTGTCTCTTTTTCAGAAGGTGAAATCTCAAGCCAAATCAGAGACGCGGCTTCCTCGGCCTTTGCACGGTCGGTGTCGCTCAAGCCTCGCTTCGCCAGCCAGATGCAGAAAGATGCGCGCCAATGAGGGCGGGTCACTGCAGCACACACCAGCGACGTGATAATCAGGAAAACCCAGCCGATGTTTTCGGAAAACTGGGAGGAAAGATTCACGATGTACTCGACTAACATTATGACGGACACCACAAACTGCATGAGCATGAAAAGCCGCACGCACTGCCAAGCTCTCCTCAGGCGGTACGGACTCTCAAGTCGAAATCCCATCGTGATGGCCACGGTGAAGGCAATGCCACTGAGGGTGTAGACAAGTCCTGCAAGAAGTCCAAGGATCCAAGTGGTCACCCAAAAGATGATAGCTATGATACCCACCAAGGTGAGCCCCACAAAAAATACCAGAACGGTGATGAGAGCCCATCTGACAGCCACTTGGTTGTCTGGAATGACCGCCATGAGCAGAAGGCAGAATGCCACAGGAAGCATTGCAGCATAGCCCTGCGGATAACCCAAGACGTAGACAGTGTGGAAGCCCAAAAAAAATGCCAGAATAGGTGCCGAGGCCAAGCACAGCAAAAATGATCCCAGACTTCGGGTCACAAAAATCACCCGCACCCGGACTCGCTGTTGAAAATCCTCGGGAGTAGGCCTGCCACGCAGAAGCCAGAAGAGCAGGCCAATCAAAGCTGGAAGCAAACCAACGATGACACCGATCACCATGGTCCACACTGCCCTGGCCACCCATGGAGCCATCCACCTTGACACATTGGCATTGTACCAAGCGGTGTAGGTGGAGGAAGTGCCAGTTCCACTCTCGCAGAGACACCTGTACCACGCCACGCAGACACGGTCATGCCATCCGTTTCCTTCCATCACCGCACACTGAGCCGAATCCGGGGCCAAGTCGTTGATGCGGTCAGCTTCCTGGGTGAAATTGTTAAAGGAAGTGGCTTGACCACCAGCACAGCGAGTCCAGGTTTCATCCTTGTAGGTGCCAAGCCACAAGCCGCGGCCCACGAAATCCGGATTTCCATCATCGAAAAGCCAATCATAAACGAATTGGCTGTCCGAGCTGCTCTGCAGGCATGCTAGGGAAGCATCACCAAGCCCTGAGCACTTGGATGCACAATCCAGATGAGAGACATAGCCATCAGCAAGTTGATAGCACTTCCCGGTAGCCAGGTTTTCTTTCCAGGAACTGCCTGGACAAGATGCCATGCAGGGAGCGAGTAAGATGAACATCCAAGACAGGCACATCACGACAGGAGGCATGCTTCGTCAAAGACTCTGTCCTGTCGGCTACCAAGCTACTACCTTTTTCTGAGCTGATTGGCTTGGCAAGAAGTTGAAACCTTCAGCTCTAAATGGGAAGAAATTCCTCCCAATATCATCTTTGCGTGGGTTACGTAGCAATCACTACAAGTACGAAAATGTTACGCATGATGGCTCCCTGACAACATGAGTGCAGCACGTCTAGCCCTGAAAGCCTCGCTGTCTAGAAATAGCAGCCAGGTTGAAAAAAATCCTAACGCACAGGCTCGCACCCTGTACAGGACTGTTCTTGAGTCGTTCCTTTTTTGTTGATGGAAAGGATCCTGCTACCTGATCTGATGCTGAGCGAAACTTAAAACAATATACCCATTCAGAAATCAGTACCCTCCTAACGCTCAAAACCAGTTTTCTTTCGTTCCGCAACCTTGCGACGTTTCCGCTTCGCAGCCTTGCATCAAGTTGAGGCCAAGGGCCTGGACAAACCCCGAAAATTTCAGGTGGTGGCGCATAACATAGATTCTATTCGATGCGTCACGGAGCTCCTCGTACAATTGTACAGTAGATGAGACTTCGACCCCAGACAAACGCACAGCCATACTGAGAGGTTCATGGAAAGCGATGCCTGGGGTTCTAAAAACCGAAAAAGAGGGCACACAAAGGTTTATAAAGGTTACCATACAATCACCCTACTAACCCTAAATAGTAGTTTCCATTTTCTTTTCCACGATCCCAATATAACCCCATATACTATCTACTTAAGGGGGACTATATAGCTAGCCAGGAACTTCTGAGTCTCCCACCTCGACCCTCACCCAAGCGGGGTCGGAGCCTCGACTTCTCAGCCGGAAGCTCTTGTCACCATCCTTTCAGGGTCTGGCTCTGAGAGATATGTAAACCTGAAGTGGGCATGCATGGCTTATGTTTCGTTCCCAAATGGACTGACGTAGAAAGTGGAATACATTCCTGGCTACGGCAGGCTTCAGCTGCAGTTAAAAGTCAGACTTTCGGTTTCACAACCAGCCTTCTGCTCAACGCTGTCGAAGGAGCCCACATAAATCCTCGGTCTAAGAACAGGCCGCACATGAAGCAAAGTTAGAATCCCCAGATACCTCCCTCCTTATGCCGGAATCTTTCATCTTCAAACTCTCCGAAGCAATCATACCGGCACATACCCACACACAAGGGGGGCTGATGGTTGCCGGGACATTTGGAGGCAGGCTCACTGAGACTCCGTCTTTGGTGCGGCGCCCGTGTAGCCCTTCTGCTCAGTCCCCATGGCGACTGCCTGCTGGTACCAGCTTGTTCCTGGTTTTGGGGGGAGGAACATTGCGTAGACACCCTGCATGACCCTGCACAGAGCTGTAGAGACTCTAAATATATGGCCATGATTCTGCGACTTCTGACGTGAACGTTCATTGTTAATCTGAACCAGTCTCAGACTGCATAGGTGCGGGGGACCCTAATTATGAGACATGCCCATCAGGAATCCACTGCTTTAGCCTTTACATGGTTGCAAGCAGAGACCAAGAGCAGCTCTCAGTATCTCCCCGCCACCGGCCTCCGGGAAGGATCCCCACCCATTGCCTGATGAATGCGGCATGCAGGGTGGATAGTCTGGAATTAGAAGTCATAAGGTTGTTCCCAGAAACCCAAAACAACCTTAAACCCTAAATTATGTGACGCTACAACAAAGGCAGCAGTAGCCGTGGCCACGACATCACATGGGCTAAAGTCTAAACTCCAGGTATCCCCCTTTATAACCACTATAGTAGTACCCTATGTAATCCCCTATATAACCTCTCTAAAGGAGTTTAGACAGTAGCTCACATGGCAGCATGGCCTGCATGGACGTAGAAGACGCTCTCGGGATCCTGCACAACCCCAAATGTGCAGAAGCTGTCCCTAAACCCCAAATAGTAGCTTCCATTTTCTTTTCCATTATCCCTATATAACCCCTATCTAGCCCTACATAGCCCCTCTAACCCCCTTTGTCTTGTTCCGGACGTCGTGGAGGGAGTATGAGGGCAGTTGATATGGAGTGATGATGGGCTCTGTGAGCGTATTGCACAACAGATGCTCCCTCCTTGTGGAATCCATCTCCAGGGTTCGATCAGTTCTGTGAAAGTTTGAGGCATCATTGTGAGAAAACCGAACCCTTTGGATCGTCATGCGAATGGGGCTGGACAATGCCCTCGCCCTCGTCCTGCTGACAGTTCAGCTCGTCGCTCAAGATCGTCATTGCAATATGTGTTGGATGCGGTGTTCACTTATGCAGAGGAAGCGTATCTCATCTTCACTCCTGATAACACCTAGTTACCCTCGTATATCCCTACATTATCCACATATGCAGATACACACACACACATATTTATTAGTTTCCATTCATGTACAGTTTTGTTTTACATTTGATTCTCCATTACCAAGATCCCCATTGTACAGAGCTAATCATGCAGCCCACACGTGGAAATTGTGTCTGGCAGGTGACAGCTCTCGATCTTCAACGGCTCAAGAACGACCAACATGCACCATGACGGGCCCAATTGACTGTTTTCATGATTCTGGGCAAAACACATACCTTGTGATGGCGGTGGCGGCGGCGGCGGGGGCGGGGGCGGGGTGGCGGTGGCGGTGGCGCTGGCGGTGGCGGCAGCGGTGGTGAGGGTAGAAATAATCATAACAAGAGTTAGGCAAGGCCCATGTTATGAACATTTGAAAGAAAGGTCAGGGTGCACAGAGACAAGATGGATCATGCAAACCACTTGCCGGATACGGAACTAGGAGGAGAGTCCAACTTGTGCCTCCCCTGCTCCACCCTGCTGCGAATTCGGAAGCTGAAGCCAACATCACTCACGACGCAGGCCAGCCTTCTTTTTTCCACAGCTCCGCGACAGGTGGCATCCGACGCTACTGCGCTGACCCTTGTTGCTCTTTCTGCAACGTGGGTCGCGCTGACAGCTGCACCAGTCAACTAGCGCTTTGACTGTCAAGTACATGGTTTGATGCACGCATTGCTTCTGTCATGGGTGGAGAGTCAGCTATCACCTGATAATGAGTATCTTTGGCTTCAAAATCGCTAGCGTGGCCCTTGGTTTGAAAATGCGAGTTCCCTCTCCCGCTTTTCTAGCTGCATATATGCATCATCACTGTCAAGATTGTCCAGGCCCCCCTGCACGTGGTTCTGTGGTCATGCACGCAAGCAGCAAGAGGCCGACCCCATCAGCCATCTCGCTGCCTTGGCGCGTTCCTGGGCAGGCAGGGGTAATTCCCAAAATCAAAGACATTTCCCCAGAATGAAATGGAAGCCGGGCTCATAGAGAGGTGTGTAGGGAACAGGGCTTTCAAAAAATCGGGGGTCCTTTGGGGGAGTCCTTACACGAAGGATTGTTGCGTGTAGGGTTGCGGCACCATTATGGCTATCTGCCATGTGCTTGCACCTGACGCTACTATGATACCTCGGCCATCAATCTTCCTAGGACAAGGACGTCTTCTTCAATTAATGTAGACCCCTGAGTAATAAACCACCTCCTTCTTCTGCCCTTAATATCAGGATCCCTTTTATGATCCGCTGTTACAGGGGGGTCTATTAATCACAGGTCTGGGTTACCTCTGCATCTCGTGCACTTCTAAAGTAACACTGATGGTGGTAGCAGTAGCAGCAGTGGCAGAGGCAGCAGTAGCGGCAGCAGCCCTCGTAGAGCACCATCACAAATGCAAGAACTCCTGTAAGAGAAGCCCAGATGTCCAGACATCCCTAGGACAAATGGAACCCCGTAAACCCTAATTCCTGACACCAAAAAACAAATTTGCACAACCTTGGCCACTGACTTGATGATGTCATCTACTCGGATGATCATCTCAGCAGCCTTCAATATGAGTCGCGAGGTGCTTGGACAAACAGCCCGCCAGCTTGGTGCTTGTTTATTGCAACCTCTCATGTTGCGGTCGGGGAAGATTTCAGAAGAGATAGGAGGCATCCAACACATGATGCATGTGTACGAATTGAATCTAGCAATAAAACAAAGAATTCTCCTGCGCAGTTCTACACATGAGTCTTGGGATTGGCACTGAGGGTAAGTTGCAGCTTGCATACTTGGCTTATACATAGATAGTATTCTTCCGTAGCGGGGATAGACAGCGTGAAACGTGTCACGCGGAAGGCTAGTGTCAGCTTTCAGCAGCAACGTACATCGCACCACATCTCTCCCAAGAATTTCCTAGCGTGGAAGGCGATATGGGGTGACGTACCAAGTTCTCATGCAGCCTTTGCAACTGTGCAGATCCATGTGTAAGGTGGCGGTCTCCAGACTTGCAACGCTAAATCATGACACGGTTGAAGCTGTGATCGACAACACCTCATGAAACTCCTGTTCACACTGCAATCCTAACGACAGCATTCCCCATGTTTTCCGAAACCATCCTGGTGGTATTGCATTCTATGCCTGCACCCCCTCCCTTAAAGGAGCTGGTCATGTCTTAGAGACAGGGAAGTCCTCAGCAAACCCACACACAAACACAGATCCAAGTTCAAGCAACGCCCAATTAAGAAGGATTGCACATCTGCTTTCTTGGTCCATCTTGCCTCTGCCGCAGAACAGAGTTGCGACATCTTGCTCCTGAAAGACTCCATGATGCCCAGCCTGCACGACGCGGTTTAGGGTTCAGGGTTTATAGTCCCCCTTAAGTAGATAGAGAGAATATGGGGTATATGGGGATCTTGTTATAATATACTCAAAGCCATATTTTGTCTACTTAAGAGGACTATACCCTAAACCGTAAACCCTAAATAGTAGTTTCCATTTTCTTTTCAATTATCCCAATATAACCATCTCCTATCTGTTTAAGGGGGGCTATAGGGTGAACATTGTGCTGTTGCGCCATTTGAGGCCGCAGGATTCTCCCTGCAGATGCTTCGGGTCTACACGCCGAGCCACAAAAATTGCCTTTGGGGTAAAACCTTTGAGATTTCCAAGTAAAGGCGGCTCTTTACGATGAAGTTGCAAGAGTACCGTACCTACGAACTCGTATATAAGCCCACTTGACATTCAATCACCTATGTTTTTTTCCTCCACTTGATTCTCATTTATTGGGTAACGTTCTCCATATACCCCGACATAATCCCTAGATGGTTGTGTCTATGCTGTTGTCAATTTTGTCCTTTCCGTTTGGTTTTCTACCACTAACCGTAACCCCAAACCCTATAAAGCCGCCAGTTTGCCACTTAATTTTCCATGTCCTCCTCCATATGATTCTGGCTTATTGGGTTAATATTCCTATACATCCCTATAACTCATATATCCTACATAAAACTGTATCCAATTCCTTTTCCATGTTCTTTTCCATCTGATTCTCCATTATTCCTATATGCCCCTCTAGAGCCCTGCAGCCTTCAAACCAATATATGCCCATACACTCCTATACATACCGGTATACATAACCCTATGTATCATATGTCCCTATAACTCTCCACTATGCTTTCAGTGACCCAGTGGGGGCCCGGACTGCTGCATGTCTGCCACGCTTCCGGAGTTGAACTCCAGCCCGGTGGAATGCTCTCCTCACCAGCGGGTTGCGGGTTTAGAGATGTAGGGGTTTGGGGTTTAGGGGTTTGGGGTTGAGGGGTTTGGGATTTAGGCGTTTGGGATTTAGGGGTTTGGGGTTTAGGGGTCGAAGGGTCTAATTAGAGGTTTAGAGTTTTAGGGTTTTAGGGGTTTAGAGGTTTAGGGGGTTAAGGGGTCAGGGATCTAAGGGAGAGTTCAGCCTTTGGGCGTCAGAGTTTTCATGCTCTGTACTGTCGAAGCCTCAATTGCTGGAATAAGGCTTTTGGGGCATACTAAATTACAATGCAGCTATATAAAGACTATGAGGAAACAATTGTGGGAAGCATCCTGGTTTCTCTACTACAATACATACTCTGCACCAACCCTATATAAATCCAGCTCCTATTTCAATTCCATGTTATTTCAAATGATTCTCCATGATTCTAGCTATTCAGGACCCTAAACCCTAAACCCCACATAATACAATAAATTCCATTTTCTTTTCTACACCCTATATATCCTTATACGTCCCTGCTTATCCGTATATATCCCTGAATATCCCCAACATATCCTCTATATCCTTATATGAACTAAACCCTCAAACCTTAACCCTTAGCGCTTCAAGCCACCCAGCCTTTCGCGTGTGCTGCTCGCAGCTGCCCCGACAACTCTGCAGAGTCCAGGCCTCGTAAACCAGGTCAGAAAGGATATATGGGGATATATAGGAAATATTGGTATATCTAGGCTAGGGTTGAGAGGTTTAGGTTTTTGTTTGCGGCACATTTTCTCTGCAGCATGAAGCTATGGAAATGCCCCTAGGGCACGGTGCAGAAAAACAAACGATCAGTGCGTGTGATGTATTTGACGTCTCCCACCTGACTTGTCCTTGTTGTGTCCGTCACTCTCTTCGCCCATTGCTGCTGGTACATCACATACGCCACTGACACCCTCCACGGTTCCACGCAAAGCCGCGTCAGCATGCTCCACCGCCGCATTCCCACCAGCAACCGCCGGCAAAGGACGTCCCTGGTTGTCTTCAAGGTCATCACCATGTCCGGATTATGGCAGGAGACCACGAAGCGACGTACTTGCAGGCAACATCAAATCAGGCAATCCCGTTCCTCTACCCAGATCTTGTCCTGGTGTGCGCAATGTCCCCTTCCATCTGCTCGCTGATGAGGGTGCTGCCGCGCACTCCCTTTCCACCCATAGAGCCATTCTCCAACTGGATTTCATCATGTTTTTTGCAAGGTCGGTTGCACGTGACCACAATCAGAATTGGCTTAATTGTGTCCATGCCCTTGTGCTTGCTGGTCTTCATCACCCTGATCAATTGCGTAGTGCCGCATGCATCAACCTTTGCCCTCGGTCTTAATGATCAACAACTCCCAAATCATGTGGTAGAGCAGCAGCTGGAGCGACGCGACCATCTCCTTCAACAGCATCGGCAAGAAGCACTCCTTGTCCTTCACCGGCTTCCGACGGCCCAATGGCCCTCTGCCCCCATTCACTTCCTTACAATCTCAAGTCCAATCTGGCCCGCTTTGTATCCTTGGTAGCATTGCTGCTCGCAACCCTGACGTCATTGCTTTCCTCTTCGTGCGGACCTGCACGATTTCTGTCCCCGATGTGCTGTTTCCTGCTGTCCCGACAGAAGCTTCCATCACCGTGAACATCATGAGCAGCTCTTGTCCACGTGGAAATTCTACTTATTAAGCAAACCTGGGTCGTTGCCAGCTCCTTCCCCTCGTTGTCATGGCCATCACCCTCCGTAGTCTCTTGGCTGCTCAGTCAGGCCCATGTTACTGCAGCTCTGTCCACATGGCCCAAGCATCTAGGCCTGAGCCTTGCCACTCTGCATGGCATTCCAGCTGTTGTCATCTGCCTCCCGCTGAGCAATTTTTTCTCCTTTGTTGCCTTTTGGAACTGCTCATACTCAACCCTTTCTTTGTCCGTAGGCTCCTTCTCGCCGCCCTGACCCTTGACTTTCAAGCCGTAGTAGTCGACAACGGCTTCACGAGTGGCATTCACCGAGTCCTCCACCAGTATCGCGTCACCAGCCAGAGCCCTTCAGCTCGTTGCAGTAGCTGGGCACATCCCTACTGTTGCAAGCAGGGAGGAAGACGTTGCCATTGGGTTCGGCACTATTCTTGATTTCTCTCATCATCCAAGGTCTCTATTTCATGCGGGGGGCCCCTCATCGGAGCAACGATACGTTGCCAGCAACGCATCCAAACGCTGGAACCTACGAGCGGTCCAAGTGCCACAGGCGCAGGTCTCGTCAGTTGCATCACGTGATGATACAAGCACCTCGCCAAATCTTGGACTTGTGGTCTACTCAAGGTTTAGGGTTTACGGTTTAGGGGTTTATGGTTTAGGGCCCAGGGTTAGGAATTTAGCGTAAGGAATTTAGGGATTTAGAATTTAGCGTAAGGAATGTAAGGTTTTCCATATAGCGCTGGGAATTTAAGGTTTAGGAATTTAGTATGAAGGGCTTAGGGTCAGGGATGCCTTACGTCTGCCAGACGCCACCCAAAGCTGCTTGATAAGATTTGAAACTCTTTGTGTCGAGCGTTGGCGCAGTCAGAATGCGGTGGTGTCTAACTGGGTGTGCAGGTTTTCCTGTCTTATCATCTGTAAAGCCTAGGGTCTCGGAAACCCACCTGTGCAGCAGGTTCATGACCCGTACTACGGGCCCATGGTTCCATCTCCAGCTTCAGGCATAGGTCTCAAGGTAATTTCTCCATGTTCCGTAGAGGTGAACATGTCTGGTTACATCAGAACTCCCCCATGTAGAATGGCAGAGGAAGTTCTCAGCAAACACTTCTGACAGCTTCTACTCCAGATCTCATGGGATCCTCAATAATCTACTTGAGGTCTGCTCGAGGTGCCGGATGCGATAAGTATGCAAAGAATCTGGGATAATTACTTACAATCCCCCTTAAGTAGATAGAATATGGAGTATATGGGGATCTTATTATGATGTACCCCAAGCGATATGCTATCTACTTAAGGGGGACTATACCCTAAACCCTAAACCCTAAATAGTAGTTTCCATTTTCTTTCCCATTATCCCAACACAAGCCCCACATTCTATCTACTTTAGGGGGACTACACCCTAACCCTAAACCCTAAAACCGAAATAGTACTTTCCATGTTCTTTTCCATTTGCCCTATATGACCCGCATGTTCTATCTACTTAAGGCGCACTATACCCTAAACCCTAAACCCTAAATAGGAGTTTCCATTTTCTTTCCCATCATCCCAGTATAAGCCCCACATTCTATCTACTTTAGGGGGACTATACCCTAGACCCTAAACCCCACAACCTAAACAGTACTTTCCATGTTCTTTTCCATTATCCCTATATGACCTGCATATTCTATCTACTTAAGAGGGACTATAGCTTTCTACAGCACATGGTGCTGTTTGGGCTCCAGACCCGCGTTGTCGGCGAGGATGACCGGGATCTGCCTTAGTCTTGGAAATCAGGGGATTTTGATTAATGGAGTTTAGGGTTTAGGGTAGAGGGTTTAGAGTTGACAGCTTATCCCAACGCCCCAAATTAAGCCCTTCTACAACCATATGATACTTATATAGGGTCCTTATTTATAGGGTTGGGGGTAACTAGAACCTCCCTCTCACGAAGCACATCCTGCAAACCGTGCTCTTGGTTTAGCCTCTTTTGGTGGAGCTTGAAGGTCTGTAGGGTGTAGGCCTAAATCACTCAAACAACCTTGGGATATAAGGGAATGACAGTACTAAGCTTTCCTGTTTTTACACTGAGAGTGCGTCGCTTTGCCTTAGCTAATTGCTCAAAGCGAGGGGGTTGTTGGCGGCAACAATGAATGGATTTGATCGGACCCTCCCAAATTGGATAAGGAACCCAGGCTGTTGAGAAATACTCACCAGTATAACCACGAGGGCATTCCTCAACATTGGCTTTATCTGCTCCCAAATACCCTGACCCAAAGAAGGAACCTGAATGGACAATTCTGAATTCTGCAAAAATCCGATTCCCAAAAGGGGGTCGTTAAATTTCCAGAAACACTAGCCGCCATAAACAACGGGATGAGCCCAGTTTCCATTTCATTTTCCATGGTCTGTTCGATTTCATTCTCCATCATGGAGAAACACATTCCTATACATCCCGGAATAATCCAATTTAGCGTCCAGTGCAGTTTCCATGCACATTATTGAAGGTAATATCCCTAAACCCTAAGACTTGAACCCTAAACAGTAGACATTTTCTGTTCCATATACCCCTACAATCCCTCTGTACCCTATTTCTTGGAAACCCTCCAACCATGGTAGCCTCCACCTTACTAAACGCTGCACCCTCAAGCCCATATAAACTTGAGGTTTCTTAGGGTTCTCAAATTTCCTTCATCTCAGAAAGTAAAAAATTCAAAAAAAACAAAATGACACCCCCAAAATCCTAAGTAATGGTCATAAACCCTAAACCCTTGACCCTAAACCCTAAACACAATGCCGAGGCTCATCAAGGCCTTGCCAAAGGCCTCCATGGCGGAGCTCTCTTTCCCGCCCACCTTACAGATGTGGGACTAAGGTTAAGGCTTACTGTCTAGGCATTAGGTTTAGGGTTTAGGGTCTGGGGTTTAGGGTCGGGTGTAGTACGTAGGGTGTGGGGAAAGACTGAAATGGTAATAATGTTTGGGGTTTAGAGTGTAGGCATAGACTAGTAGGAATAAGGTCTACGGCTTGGAGTTGCTAGGGTAAGGACAAACTAGAAAGGAAGGTTTAGACTTGAATGCAAAGGTTTTTCCGAGTAGACAGAAGGTCGGGGGGTAAACGGGCTCAGAAGCACATAGGGGTCGCGGGCTGAGGAAAACAGCAATGTTCATGCTAGCAGCTCGCAGAACCAGCTGGCGTGCATCTCGTTGAAATGATTTGAGGAGCACGGGAGTAGCACTCTTACTGACATGATGGATGATGGTGATAGAGGTCAATGCTCCTTACTGCTCGCTGCAAAAGAACTGCCGCAAGCAAAAGTCATCACTGCGTGCCTGTCGGTACTAAAATTGCTGAAAACTCCTGATGATCACACCTGATACAAGTCATATGATAGTTTCTGGCAGTTGTGCATACTTGCCGAAGTCAACGATACACACACTTTCTCACCATTCGCCAGCCTCAGTGAGCTTCTGCTGCACGGCCTGAGCCATTGCCTCTGCACGAACAAGATTGCCATGAACAACAAGGATAGGCCAGGCCACAGCAGCAACAAAAGCGATGTGGCAAGAGATGGACTCGCGCTGGATGTGCTGGCAATGATGGCGACAATCATGCCAGCTAGTTGCGTAAGAAAGCTGCAGACATGCTGAAGCATGGTGATCGGGACGATCACCCACAATTTGCCGTCAGATCCTTTGGCGTCCCACTAGTACTACCACCACCCACTTCTACTACTTTACACTTTCCAGTTCTTCTACTATTACTGGGTGGCACACCATCTCTGTCGAGCCGCCACCCCAGACCTTGCTAACGATGTGCATGAAGAGGGGCGCTTTCCGAACAGTACAATCCCTGCAAGCAATGTACCCTAAACCCAAAACCATACTTGTATGCCCAAAGCGAACAAACCCTGACAATCATGATCAGCAGATGCAGACTTCCAGGGTTCACTTGGGGTGTTTAAACTACTATATAGTATATCGGGGTTCTATAGGGGTTGTATAGGGATAATGGAAGAGAAAATGGAAACTATTATGTATAGATCCACTAGCATTTCTGTGTATGAGCTGTGGTCAACATGCAGGACAAAGGCTGACACGCTCTGTGCCGAAACGCATCACATGACCTGTAAAGGAATTAACCTTGTTAATGCTATAACCCCAGTATATACCCTGCTATACTATGGTGGTTTCCATTCTCTGTTCCATTATCCCCTCTATAACCCCAGGATAGGGGGGATGTTCTAAAATTGCTGCCGACCTGTAGCAGCCTCTGAGGCTTTGGCAACTCGCGTCTCCTGCAGGCTGCTCTTAGAGGGAATTAGAAGTTAAGGCTTTTTCACGGCAAAGTTCAGCAAGGCAAAGATTCAATCAGGAACTTGCAGCAGCCTCTTTTCGAAGCGACTCGTAAATATTGTGCCTACTGGAGGCCAAACGTCCCTACAATGGCGAGTCAGTCTTTTGGTCAGCAACATGCGCACACAAGCTGAAACATCTGAGCTGTTTCGTGGGGCTACAGGGGAGCCTAGGTCTAACAAAGATCCCGTTCAACAAGAAGAACTAGTTTACTTTGGCTTCAAGTGCTGCCTCACTCCAGGAGATGACTCGTTCTGTTCCTCATTCTCCTCTACCTCCTCCTACTGCTGGTATGGATGCTGCTGGTTGTCACTACTCTTGTTGCGGCTCTGTCATATCAAGTGCTTCATGTATTTTCACATGAAATCCAGATCATGTTCATCTAAGCCAGCTAAGCTTAGTGGTAGTTTTCCAAAATAAGGGGGACCCTAATATACTATAATCCTTATTATGGGGACCCCAAACATGGTACCCCTAATTTTAGGAAACCCCCCCCAAAACCCAAAAACCCAAAACCCTAAGCCCCAAATACCCCTATATAACCTTATGTCCCTATATAGCCACCCCCCTTAAAAGGGACGCTAGGGTTTGGGTAGCTGGGATCACCAGCTGAGATCCTGCACGGTCTGGTAGAGCACGGCCAGGGCGTCGTGCAGGGATCGCTCTGCCTGGAGAGGTGATCAACCCAAGAGGTCCAAACAAGGAGTGAACAGGGTTTAGGGTTTAGGGACCTTAGTGAGCTTGGGGTTATGTTGGGATTATATTGGGATAATGGCAAATAAAATGGAAACTAATGTAGAGGCCGGATTACTAAAGGGGTCGTATTAAAGCTAAATCAGGCCTGAAATGAATGATATTATAAAGGGGGTCGTATTGGTGAACGGATTAATAACAACATAGGAACGGAATAGTGCATACTCGCTTCTGAAAATGCCCAAACCGAGAATAAGCAACCGACCCCTAATTAAGTATCTACGAAAGAAGAATAACATCTAAGTTGCAGACAATCATATGCTAAGCCTTGAGGCCTATGGATCTCAAATCTACGTACAGCCTTTTGGCCAGAAACCAATTCGATTCCGATTCTCAGGTTCTGAGCACGCCAGAAACTTTCGATTTCTTATAAGAACGCTTATTCGAACAGCCCAGGCAATCATCTCTGCTAAGGGGTACTATACCGAGACCGCCGGAACGGAATAACAATAGATGTGAATAATAAACGTTAAAAAGGGCACGGAATAAAAAAGGCTCTGGCAGGCAACAGCACTTGGCATCGAATCAACATCCACTTGAAAACAATCGAAATTTATGCAATTCTATTAAAAATCCACTTGAAATCGAATTGAAATCCGTTTCAAATCGCTTGAAATCTCATTTGAATTCCTTCTAAAATCCATTGGCATCGAATTAAAATCCATTTCAAAACAATTGCAATAGAATTAGAATTCTATTAAAGCCAATCGAAATCGAATTAAACCCCCTTTGAAAACGTTTGAAATCTAATCTAAATTCCTTTTAACATCTATTGAAATCAAATTAAACTCCCTTATTAATCGATGGAAATGTAATTAAAATTCCTTTTAAAAACAATCGGCATCGAATCAAAATCCATGTCAGATCAATTGAAATTTGATTAGGATTCTATGTATTGAGGTTGGTTTTAATATAAGGGGGAAGGGATTCAGTAATGTGTTAGTTGCAAATATATCCCAAGCCTTAGGCCGCAGGGCTAAGGGCGTAGAGTTTAGGGTTTATGGGTTGCTCTGGGATCCCCCAAACAAGTTTTCCCGGACTTGATTGGGGCCCCCCGGATTATTCAGATCCGTACTTTGTTTGGGGGGGGGTGGCTTTCTCATCAGAAACCCCCCATTACAGGAGTTATAGAGGATGATATTAGGAGTATATTGGGATAATGAGATTAAAGGGTATATATTGGGGGTATATAGGGCATTTCAGCGGTATAAGTCCACAATTACAAGATAGGCCGCAGAGAGAAACAAGCCCACATGGTCATGTCATGTGATATTAAGTCGAGGCTTCGGAGAGGTCCAAAACAGCGCAAGAACGAAGAGCTAGCGATCTGTTAAATTCAGATTCCCCCTTCAAACTGCCCCAGAATGCTTGGATGCTCGTCTCTAGGACCCCAAAAAATGTACGACCCCAAGCTCGCCCAAGGCTGCCTCATCCAAAACGTGCGTGGAGCTACCTCGCAACCTGGGCAGCAAAAGAAGGATGGGCGCTAGTTGGTGCAGTTGTAAGTGCCCCATCACCCTAACCCTGAACAATCCTTGCAAAAGCAGTTGGTCCTTATCTGTGCTTGGATTTGTAGCTGTGCTCGGAAGCTATGCGAAAGGCAGGCTCCGGACACGATGGTGCAAGCCTCGCCTTTGGAGCAGCCAGAGAACCTCAACTCAAAAACCAGTAGCGACAGTATTGCAAGCAGGAGCTGTGGCAGCAGCAGTTGAGCGGCGAATTTCAAAGGCTCTGGGGCGGAAATAAGATAAGGGATAGCGCTTTTAGGATTAGGTATCGCTTCCTCAGCTCTTTGCACTCATTTCCTCCTGCAGTACTGCCACAAGAGGCTACCATTTAGATGCTTGCTCAGTTTACATGGTGAGGCGGGGCAGGGCGGCTCAGTATCAAAAACAAGAACGATGGAAAGATTGTTGAGTACCGGGATTTCACGGGCTTTGGCCTTGAGGTACATTTTTTGGTGATGGAGGTGGCCCTGCAACCTGAATGCCACAAAAATACATTGAGGAACCTCAACACCGCGTGATCCGAGTGCCGGGCTTGATGACCTTGTCTTCCCCTGAGCCAGTCAAAAAACTCTTGCTGAGCGTATGCGCAGCATTCCACAGGTGATGACTTAGAGTACTGTAGGATGACTTATGGTGTAAGATGAGTTATGCGGGCCACCTAAGCATTGGTTCGGGTGCTTGTAAGATTGCGGGATGGGACTCAAGCGGGGCAGAACCAGTCAACGGGGATTCTAGGGGAATGCTTTGGGCTGGTATTGAGAAACTCCCATATAGGCAGACGCAGCCCCCAAGGCCGGTACCAATCATGATCTCCTCTATCTTCTTGCACGTGCCGAGCGTCGTCATTTCTGGGCTGTCAAAAGTGGAGACCTGGAATCAGGAAAGCGTATCAATAAGAACGTTGGTGTCTTGCAAGAAACTGCCACACATGCCTGTTGTCAGGGCTTGATGGCTAAGAATATAGAAGAATTTGGCCCAGCTTTGACCTGCAATACGTCTGCAGATAAACACACACAAATGCTTCAGAATGGCAAGCTTTAAAGGTCTGATTTTTCGAGAGCTAGACTGTCAGGGCATTGCTTGTAAGACTATACTGATCATAATTAACGCGGCTACTCATCTTACGACGGTTGTGCCGTTGCTGATGCCGCTCCTTCTCATCATCCTTCTCCTTTACGTTCTCCTTCTCTGCTCCTGGACCTGCTCCTCCGCCAGCTCCTACTCAGCCCTTTCTACTCCCACTCCTAGTTCCACTCCTACTCCTGCTACTCCTCCTCCTATGCCTCCTACGACCACCACCGCCGGCACCATCAGCAGCCAGCAGTAGCACCAGGTCAGAAGTCTTGGAGCAGTCTGGGCTGCCACGCAATATCAGCTCCAAGCACAGCGGCCAGACGTTCGGAACCATCGAAGTCCTTTGCAGATGATCGCTTCAATACTGAGACCGGCGGAAACCTATGTCATTTGTTCGTGCTTTCACTCTCCTCTCTCATGGAGCCTGAGCTAGTGGCTGAGTGCTCAATCGCCATGACACCGGACTCCTTCAGCAGCTGATCCTGGGTTTGAGGCACGCGACTGCAAGCGATGGTTCACACCTGGAACTTAAGGAGCCCTGATGCTAGCATGGCACACACAGAGGTGAGCAGGTTGAACTTCAGTCGCTTGACTTCGCAGATAGCCACCCGAGCTTTTCAACTTTCCTGACCATCTTATAAGAATTCGAGAACCTGAAGTTACACCAACTTGGGATTATTTCCAACATAAACCACAATTTACAGTGAGGTCGGCATGATTTGCCCAGCTTTGTCTGGAGCATCGCATCGCGTCTGAAGCCGGATGTTGGGAACCCCGGCAGGATAGTTGTAGATCAGCTGGCGGTTGATGAAGACCTAATGCTTCTTGCGGTGTTTCTTTTTTTCAATGTTCAGGAAACATCATCTCGTATACCACGCCTTGTTCCTGGGCAATATCAATATTCTTCAGAGGGAACCAGAAGGGCTTCATGCGACCACGTGCAGCTGCTGCTCTTGCTCTAATATTCGTGCCTGTTGCCTTTCCTTCTCCCACTTCACGGTATCCATGGTCTACTGATGGAAAAGCATGCGCGAGGTATTCATATTTCCCTGCAGTGCATGGTCATGAAGCCCCCTGTGGCAGGTCAAACCTTCAAGGACCCAGGCGTTGCACTTGTGTGCAACAATCTTTTCTATCTTTGTCTTCATCTTCTCCTGGCAGTGGACAGGGGTCCCCTGGGAGCAGGTCACTACTCTCCCCGATTCATCCCATGCTAATGTTACGCAGATAGTGGCTGAACAGGCCTAAACTATGCTCCTCCTACTGTCTCAATCAACGTACCCGTTTCTCGTACATAGCTAGCCCTTTCCGGCACCATGCTGGTTTGGAGAATAAATCTTCTTCGCCAGAGACCCCTACGCCTGCGGTAATCTTGAAGCATATTTGCTGCATAGTATTTGATAGCCATGCCAGGACTACGGATGAATTATCTTTGTAGTAGTTCAGGTTTCTCGCGCATTCCGATGATGCGGATTGAGCCTTCTCAGCCTGCTCGATCTCTGCCACGGCTTCCAAGGAGTCCACCTTTTCATAAGTTTTGGCTTGGGGCCTAAAGTCTCCGGGGTAGTGGCAGGGGGAGGGCGGAGGTTTGGGTGACAGGTTTTGGGTGGACTTTTCTCGGGCTTGCAGGTTCAGGACTTGGATTCTGGCTGTAGGGCAAGACAATCGTGAATGTCAGTCCAAATGAAGGAATTGAAGGATACTTATGCGACCTGAACTATTGCGGACGAAGATGATCCTAAGTATGTTTACAATAGAGGACGCTCACCACTGACAGGTCCTGGAACACATCCTGTGAACAAAAAATACTGGATATGAGCTCCCCAGAACTGGTGATGGGTCGGTGCGCTCCTGCTCGCGGTGACTGCGAACTGCCGACAGTATCAACATCTTCCTCATCATCAGCAGCATCATCACCACCAATTATTGTCAGCACCTTTCCAGGCACTAGCTGCTATCATTCTGGGTCTACTATAACTGCACCCTGTTTCGCCCTAACTAGCACGTGTTCCCTTCCTTCCGTCTCCCACCTTGACGCGGGCTCCGTAAATCTTGATTTTGTCCGTGTCCATCTGGCAGTTTGCCACCAGGACCTGCTACGGCAAGTTCTCCAAAGAATATTATAGTGGTATTATTGTGGTATATTATAGTAGAACCAGTGACCGGCAATAAGGCACACTACATAAGATGGGGCCAGATTGGGCAACCCTGTCCTTACAACGCTGTAAACTGCAATCCCCCTGGCATACCCACATCGTAGGAAGTAAGCTCTCCGCCTTGCAATCTTCGAGCAGCTTCTTGTGGCCTTGGCCATCGAAGTTCATCATAAGGCAGGAGTTCCCGAAGATTCTACGGAGCTATGTTCAGAGAAGGCTTAAGATTTCTCGGAGTTGAAGGCCCGGCTATGTAGTGGTGCTGTACACCCATGGTTCAGCCATGATACACCCCATCGCAGAGGCTGCGCCAAATGCTATGCCTCCTAAGATACCCGGGTTGATTCGTGCAACCTGAACACAAGGTTCAAGTTTGGTTACTTGTGGCTAGTAGCAAATACAGAAGTCAATCCCTCTTCTAGTCCTCATATATTCCCTTACGGTATGGCCTGCCAACCACCAGTAAGCCTTGGGGCCACGTAACATATTTATCGGTGACAGGTTCGGGAGTAGACTAAGACTTGTTCAGAGATGTCCAAAGGCAATACGTAATTTTGGTTGCAG